TTTAACATGGAAATTATCAACGTCAAAATTTTACTTAAAAACGTGAAAAGTTGTAAGGTCTTGCTTTCACTGACGCACACAAGATGCTCTTTAAAACACTGTATCATAATCTTTATATATGTATATATGTTGAGTAACACTTTACGGTAAGGGTACATGAAGCATCATGAATTCATGTATAAGTATATGCATTCATTCATGAATTAATATCTCATGAATCATCAGAAACTAACACAAGTTCAACGTTTTTCATTCATGACTTCATGAATGAACAACACCTTAATTAAAATATTAACTAAGATGAGCACATCATCATGAATTATGATTTATTACGCATGATCATGATGTTTTCTTTGTTCACAGTTATGCCACCATTAATAGCGCATTGTTCATCAGCGTTTCAAAGGACCTAGTCACCACTTTAGTTGAGGGGCCACACACATGATGAAGTCATTGATAGATAATGCTTCGTTAACGATGATTTCTGTATTTCTGTGATTGGTCTATTATGGTGTCTGTCCAATACAGTAGTCATCATTAACTAAGCATTAATCTATTAATGACTTCATCATGCATGTGGCCCCTCAACTAAAGTGGTGACTAGGTCACTGACCTAGACAAAGAACAAAGAAAACATCATGCGTAATAAATCATAATTCATGGCGATGTGCATATCTTAGTTAATGTTTTAATTAAGGTGTTGTTCATTCATGAAGTCATGAATGAAAAACGTTGAACTTGTGATGATTCATGAGAAATAATGCATGAATGAATGCATAATTCATGCATTAATTTATACATGAATTCGTGATAATTCATGTATCCTTACCGTAAAGTGTTACCATATGTTGTTTTACTGTGTTTCAGTTTATGGTTAAATAAAGGGAACTTATTATGTGAAATTCCAGCCCGATCTCATGAAAGTTTATATCTATGGCACGAATGTCATTTCTCGTGGCATTTATACGCCAAAAACAGTTTTTGCGTGTATATGGCACGCGATTTTCGCGTACATATGATACACACTTTTTTTGCGTATAATACGCACGAACTCCCCACCCCCCTCCCCCCTAAACCTAACCCAGGGTTTTTTAGTGCGTACCATATACACGAAAAAAAACATTTTTGGCGTATAAATGCCACGAGAAATGACACTCGTGGTATAGATACGCATCTTAATGAGACTGTGTTGGAAATTCACGTGCGGGACCCGTTTCGATTTTCTTGTTGTTGGAAATACTGGTTAACCTATGTTTTTTTTTTTTTCTTCCTTGATATTTTGTGACTTTTTCTCTTTTATCATCCTGAACATGCATGCAAAGTTTCAAAATGCTCATATGTTTTGATTTATACAAACAAAATTACTATTACGTTCGTGATGTTCGCGGGTCAATTTGACCTACATATTTTAACGCTCTAAGCCTAAGGCAACTATAACAACTCAAAATAATAAAATTTCTTGGTTATATTTTTTGGGGGGGTTTTTTGTTGTTTTTTTACTACCTTATAAAGCTAAAAATTTGCTTTTCCGCACTTATTTCAATACAGAAAATTATTTTATCAGCCACAAATGGTAAAAATTACTTATTATTTTTTTTTCAAGCTACTTGAAATAATATTAAACCTTTTTCTTGATATTTTGTGACTTTTTCTCATGTATCATCATGAACATGCAATGCAAAGTTTCAACATGCTGAGACATATACAAACAAAATTACTTACTTGATGTCCGTGGGGCAATTTGACCCTCATAGGAAGCTGTTCAAAAGCAACTGTAAAGACACAAAATAAAAACATTTATTTTATGTATGTTAGTTAGGGCACTTCGACTCTAAAGTCCAAGTGTATCTAAAAGTGCTCTAACCCTAACCAAACTAAATTTAATTGTAAATGAGCTGTATTTACAATCAATAGTGAAGACAATCCTGGATATGACCAATCTGAAGGGAAGCCGTGTTTGATGAGAAATGGAAACCACTTGATCTTATTGATTTGAATATGTACATTGGATTGTTAATTTTAGCTGGAGTGTACAGATCAAAGCGAGAGACAACTGCCAGTTTGTGGAGTACAGAGTGTGGAAAGCCAATATTTCACTCCACAATGTCTCGGGAAAGATTTCACATAATGTCCCAGGTCATTCGTTTTGATTCCCGTGAAACCAGAACCAGTCGATATAAGAGCGACAAATTAGCGGTAATCAGAGATAAATGGGTAGAAGTGGACGTGATCGGGGAATTTGGCTGTTAAAATTATAACATTTAAAGCCACTTAAATAAATGAAATGACTCGAATGACTCAGAGAGTTAGTAAAATGAAGCTTCCTATTACCTACTTGTGATCGTGAGAGAAGGGGCTCGGGCTCGGAAGCTAAATCAGTCATGACTCGTGAGAGCAGGGCGTGCTGACGCTGCGGGCGGCCACAGCTCAGTAAACCATATAAATAACCTAGTTTGTAAATTGTTCATTCCCGGGAACATGTATCCGTTCTAGGTGGAAAAACAAATAGGTTCTGAACGGGTTCGCAAGTTGAACCAACTCCGAACCAAATTTGAACGAGCACCAGTTTCGAACCAGTTCTTTTTGGGTGGAAAAGGGGTACTTGATCACCAGATGGATCCGGAATCAGACACAGAAAATAAAGGAGTGAACACAGATAATGGGAAAAGAAACGGAAGAGATGTGACGTGTGCACATCCAAGCGCGACAGCAAAACCAGTAACATGTGTGTGAAGTGCAAGAAATTCACACGCAGAAAGCACACACTTGCTTTGCGCTCATCATGTCAGAAGTAACTTCTTGACTTTATGAAATGAGTCTACAAATCAAAAGATGAGCCAACTTGGGAAAAGTAAACATTATTTTCATAAACTTTACAATTAGTACCTGAATATTTTGTTGCTTGTCATAGATTTTTGAGGAATTGTATTGATCCTAATTAGGGTCAATTTGACCCGCTCCATAAAGGTTGTAAATAGAAATGCACTAGGGTACAATGCACTAGGGTTAAATGTGTGTCCACGGTGTGTGTAAACAACCAGCCTATAATGGTAAAGATCCACCCACTCCTTTTTATAATCCCCATAAACGATAAACAGTCTCTTCAAAGTTGCGGTAAGAGTAGGGGGAAGCCCCGCCCATGACTGCTGATGACGATTTGCCAGACTGGCATAGTGAGCTGCAGCAGTCCGCCATTTCTGTTTCCTCACTGTAGCAGTAGAGATACAAAACGTTACATGTTCTTTTATTGGAAGTACCAAGAAACATGAGTCCGAGCCACTTAGGACACCATGGTTGAACTTAATTTATGAATAAAATAAGTGTTATATATTTGCGTTAATCATTTTACACCAGACTCAGGGTCAGTTCAATGCTAGTCTAAGCCTTTGTTGGCTGAACGTCAGATGCATATAGAACAGGTCGTGTGGTCCATATAAGCTGTGAATTCTCTGCATACCAAAGCCTTTCATGGACTCGCTGATTTCTATTAACAATATAAATTATATAAATCCCCTTGTTTGATGTGTCCCATAAATCTTACATGATAAAATATCGGCAATTACCTATTTAACTCGCTGTCATTTATTTATTTGCCAAATAATATTATATTGTTCAAATTTGACAGTAACGGAGGGTTTCGGGTAAGCGGATCCACAGCAGCATTGGCGCCTATGCTCTATTGTTATGTATCGTCTTCATTGTCCCACGTTCTCATTGGTTTACTGGCATATGTTGGATTTCGCCCAAGCGGAAAAATGACAGATCTTGATAAACGAAAATAGATAGAAAACTAACTAGACTAAATCAACTAAAAAAAGTCATAACTGAAACTATTTTCATATTATTTAATTTCTTTTAATGAAAACTTGCTGAAACTTTTTACGAAAACTAACTCTGCTAAAAAACGATCTGGGGTGCGTTTCCCGTACAATGACGTCGTTCGCTGCTTCACTACCATAGTACGATGCATCGTTGGAGAAATCAACTAGCTAGTCACGGCTGTTTCCCGAAACCCATTGTCTCAAAGTATCGTTCAACCACGTTGGTTTCGCACGTGGTGGAATAATAACTACTTTTAATGAAACTGTTTAAGATCCAATTAACGCTATTTGTTTAATATAATTTACAAACATGTCATGTACAAACATGGCTCGTTCTTACACAGTAGAGCACGTTCGCACATGCGCACTCCTCAAACACGTTACTTAAAATCTTTTGACAAACTAAAAGACGTAAATTCCATTTGTATGTATTCTAAATAAAAGGCACCAGTTGTACTGAATGTCAGCTTGTTTAGTTTTCTCAAGATATAGATTTATTACCTCCAAAAGTGGTGCAATATAGAAACGATGCCTCTAACCACAGGTCGAGAGCTGTCGTTTAAACCTCACAACTTTGCGATGCTGTTTGCGAATGTTCGTTGGAACGATGGTTTCGGGAAACACAGACTCGTTGAACTATGCTGATAACGACGGAACTTGCGACCATAGTTGGCTAACGATGCTTTTGGAAAACGCACCCCTGATATGAAGCATGAGCTGTAAAGGCCCCGCCCTCTTCTGAAAAGCTCATTTGCATTTAAAGGGACACACACAAAAACGTCATGTTTTTGCTCACACCCAAATAGGGAAAAATTTTACAAGCTATAATAAATTATCTTTGGGGTATTTCGAGCTGGAACATCACAAACACATACTGGGGACACCAGAGACTTATAATACAACTTGTGAACAGAGGCAAAATAGGTCCTCATGCCAAATACTAGAACTTTCTGAAATTCAGGTACATTTATCAATTCAACTTTGATCACTTTTTACTCAATATGTATGCTGATAATTTAATTAATTATAATTAAAACTATACTATTTACTATACTATATTATTCACAAAAATGCAGTACAGAAGCTTTGGTGGGCTCTGGTTTTGGATCCCACTGTAGATAACCTGTATATATTGTTTAATAACAGGGAAATGTAAAAGCAAATACCCTATAAAACCAACAAGTTTCATATTAATTTATTATCTAATTAATGAATAGTATGAATTATGAATCCAGAAAGTGGATTACAAAAGCCTCTGAGGCCTTGACACCTGATATCAGGTTACAATCACAGGTTTGATTTGGTCATGAAATCAAAGTACAGATACATATAAGCATGACATTATATTAATATGTGACATGTCAGAAAACAGAATAGTTCAAATTAAAAGTGATAATTGATAACAATGTGAAATATATTGCATATAATTGCAGTAGGTTATTATTTAGACAAAAAAAATTATTTTGGAACAGACTATAAGGCAGATGTTTGACAATCAATGAGGTTAAAGTTGATTCCTTGAGCATTTCAAACCATAAGAAAAATACAAATGACAGAACTATGTTTGGCTTGAAACTAAATTATCCCACACATCAGCAGCTAATTATTAATTATGCATAAACAACACAGAGACCAAAGTTAATCACATGTAACTTTAACTAAGGTTTTCATCCATTTGTATGTCAAGTAAACTTAACCTTCGGCTTTGCATTCACAGCTTGTGACGTGTCTGTATGTGAAGTGGGTCAGAGAGCTTTTGCTGCAAGTCAGCGTTATATCTCTCATCACATAACCTCTCTCCTTACAGCACCGGTGACTCTGTTCAAGCTGCAGCGTCCCGTTAGTCTGAATCCACCTACAAGAAAACACAACAAATAAGGATCTGAACTCAGGAATGAAGCGCAACTAGTCCTTCTCGAAGGATCCCAACTGGCATATATATATATGTTGGGATCCCTCGAGGTAACTCAGGTATCAAGCGCCACTAGTCCTTCTCGAGGGATCCCAACTGGCATATATCTTAGTCCCATTGGACCCTATTATTTTTATTATTAGTAAATTTTTATTTATTTTTATTTACCCTCAATTTTACACTGTGTATTTTCCAATGTACCATAATTTAAGCACATTGTTTTGCACTATAGTTTAGTGCATATAGTAAACTACAATTTGGGGATGTGGCTCAATATTTCAAAGAAATGCTGCAAAATGACAAATGTTCTGACAATACCCTCTAGTGGCCATAAAGCTGTTCGTCAAGGAAATAATTAATGTTTGATAGATGCTATTTGCTTTTAGTTGCATATTATCAGTGCCTTTAGCACATAATACTACAACAGACCTTCACGTGATCGTCCGGCGTATTTTTTTTATGAGACAGGCTTTGAAATACTTGCCTGTTGTGTGTCTTACACTCGCCATCACAAATGGGAAGCTCGACTTCCTGTGTGCAGTTGGCAATTGTTAGGTTCATTCTTGTCACTCTGGCAGCACATGTAGCATTACCTGTGATGCACAGAACAAAATTACAGTCAGCAACATACTAAAATCATAAAAAAAATATATTTGTATAACCTTAAAATGTCTATTAAAGCATACAATAGTAATTGTTTGATTGAATGGCACAGTTTCAGCAACAGTGAAAGATTACATGTAAACCTACATGAATAGCAGCAATGATGTTCATCCCACACTCGTAAATCCTGGACACACACAACAACAACATAATAATGCAGTGGCTTTGTAGAAGATTCAAACAGAATAAAACTTGATTTTGTTTTGTAATACTGATGTGATTTTGGTCTCTCACCTCGGCACAGGTTTGAAGCGGACACACGGTTGTCTCAACCTCAGTTCCTGTCGGACTACAGGTGAAAGACTCGCACGGCCTTAAAGGGTCTGTCCACCGATCACCCACCTGAAGAAAACACAGTTTGTTAACTATGTTTTGTGCTAAATTTAGTGACAGAAAGGGGCCTCTATAACTTTACAAAACAGACAAAACTCCCATTGTGAGTAAATATGTGAACTATTTCCTTTACCTTGTAAATCGTTCCATTGTAGTCGCAAGTCTTCTCAACTGTAAAAGCAAAGAAAACATACTCCGAATCTATTTTTGCAACAGTGGACCTCATGATATAATCAATGAAAAAAGATATGTATTTCAAGCTACACTGCCGAATTACCGCAGATCTGATTGCCACAGCAGTCAGAAACCAAGACGGAGAAGGCGCCGCAGACTGGAACAGGTCCGGGAGGTTTGAGAACGCACTCTTCAGTTCTAGTCTGGTTATTACATGTGCATATGTGACAGTTTGATTCCCATACTGCCCCTACCTATAACAGACAGAGGATTACTGTAACGCAGTATTAACAATAAACATCTAAAGGGATACTCCACTTTTTTTTTGAGAAATAGGCTCATTTTACAACTCCCTCAGAGTTAAACAGTTGAGTTTTACCGTTTTCGAATCCATTCAGCTGATTTTATGATATTTAGAAGAATATCAGTAACCAGACAGTTTCTGGTCTCATTGACTTCCATGGTATCCTACTATGGTATTCAATGAGACCAGAAACTGTCTGATTTCCAAAAAACGTGGAGTATCCCTTTAAAAGACGCTTGTGGTTTCATTAATAATTTATCTCTTACCGGCATGGGCTCACCCAATGGTCCTTTGCACTCTGAAAAATAAATATGTGTGGAAATTCATGTATAAATGACCCATTATAGGGAATATTGGCATGATGCATTGATGATTTAGGGAAATCGGCAAAGTATTTTTGCATTGTCAGTTTTGATAACAAATGAGTTTAGCTTATTAGGATTTCACTTTATTTGGATGGTCCCTTTAACACATTCAGTTGACTATAAGTAAAGTTGCACCTACAGTACATCTCTACTAACTCTCACTAAAGTGTTAGTAGAGTATTATCAGACTGGTAGGGTTAGGGATAGAATAAGTTGACATGTAGTTGCAAAGTTACTTACATTATTTACATAAATTCATTGATTAAAAATAATTCATTCACAATAGCTTTAATATAATAAAAGTTGTTTTGAAATATTTGGTTGAATCTGTCGTGTTGGTAAAGTCACTCACTAGTGCATTCAGGCACACAGATTTGCTTGTGATCTTCTGCAAGCGTGTGGCCATCAGGACAAAAGCAGCCTGATCTCAGACCAACCACAGACGTTGCAGGAACACGAACTCTGAGGAGACAATAGAGTGATAGCCGTGAGGCTAAATGTAGAAAATCCTATACCTTATCATTACGAATAAAAAAAAAACTCTTTAAGTGACTAATGGAAAAATCAAGAAAAACAAAGTTAGAGGTGGAGAATTGCCATTTTCCTTGAAACTCAATCTTTTAATTGAGAGGTGAAATATGAGGCAGAGGTTGCACTGTGGGAATCATTTAAAGTAAATTCTTTCTCACCCGCCTCGACAGACAACATTCGGAGACTCGTGACACTCTTTATACATCATTCCTTCAGGACATGTGATCTCTAAAATGCAGTGGAACAGGCAAATGCATATCGTTATTGAGGACTGTTTCCCTTGTATTCAATGAATACTGGGTTGACACTATTACGCCAAAAGTGCGCAGATGTATAAGTCTTTTATTTTGTTCATTTTAAGCTAAGGAATGTGGCTACATGCTAATGCAAACACAAACAGAGGATTTCTTACGTGCTCAAAAACATGAAGCTTATCATCAAAGTGCATATCTGTAGTACAGAGTATGAGTAAGCAGATTTGTATGCAGTAAGGGGCCCTTTGTAAGGGCACTAACCCAAGTGACCGAGTTTAATACTCCCAATTATCCCAAGGGCAGTGGATTTCAACCTTTTTTAAACCATTGTCCACCATTTTCCATAAAAATATTAAAAAGTCTGACACTATAGTTTCCACAAATTAAATTTCAGAAGTCCAATTCCAGTTTAAAGAGTTAGTTACTGAAAATTCTGTCAGTATTTACTCACCCTCATGTTGTTCCAACCCCGTAAGACCTTCGTTCGTCTTCGGAACACAAATTAATATATTTAAGATATTAAGATCGCTCCTGCATACTAGTCCATAGGCTTCTTGAGGGAATTACTCTTGCTGGCATCGAAAAGTCATTAAAGACATCGTTAAAATAGTCCAAGTGACTACAGGGGCTCAATCTTAAGTTTATCAAACGACGAGAACACTTTCGTGCGCAAAAAAACAACAAAAATAACGACTTTATTTCAACTATTCGTTTATTTCTCCCTCTGCGCGAGTCAGGTTACTAGTTTAATAGCGTAAGCTTCTGTTATTGTACATCACACGCATCACACACATGACCAGCGTCGGCCAATAGTGAGTCTACATGTGACGTAGCTCTACGCAATCACACTACGTTAACTGACTACAGGCCCATGGAGAAGGAAGTGAATAGTTGAAATAAAGTCGTTATTTTTTTTGTTTTTGCGCACAAAAAGTGTTCTCGTCATTTGATAAAGTTAAAATTGAGCCACTGTAGTCACTTGGACTATTTTTAACGATGTCTTTAATGACTTTTCGATGCCAGCAAGAGTAATTTCTTAAATATCTTAATTTGTGTTCCGAAGATGAACGAAGGTCTTACGGGGTTGGAACAACATGAGGATGAGTAAATACTGACAGAATTTTCATTTTTGGGTAAACTAACCCTTTAAGGCCGTGTGTCCACCAAAGCGTTTTTAGCCAGCTGAAAACGTTAGACGCTCTGCTGAAGACGCCGTGCTATGGGCGCTTGAGAGCGTTTTGGCAGCGCAGCGTTTCAGTACGCTCATGGCGTTTAAAAAACGCGGTGCTCCCATTGAAAACAATTGAAAACATATGCCAGGCGCGTGGAAAAACGCTTTGGTGGACACACGGCCTAAGAGTTTATTTTAGGATTTCCATTCTTTTCAACCATACATTTGCATATCTTTTCAAGTCGTTGGTAATTTACTGGATCTAGAAGGTTCTTTGAAATCGCGTTTAAAGTTAGACTACTATGGCCCGGTTTCACAGATAAGGCTTAGCCAGGATTAAGCCTTACTTACATTCATTTTGTACTAGTGTGAATCTTGAGACTAAACAATGGCATTGACATTTTAAGATATGTCAGTGCAAGTTGTTTTCAGTTAAAACAGCTAAATATTGCATTTTAGTCTGGGATTAGGCTTAAGCCTTGTCTGCTAAACCAGGGGCTTATGTGTCAAAATTAGACTTACTTATGCAAGTTGTTGAGGAGGTGATTAAAATAAAAATTCTTAGTTGTTTTAGATTCTGTCTCAACGCTATCTCACGACCAATTCGTACGAGTGATTCAAAAGTGGCTAATTCGTACTAATTCAAACGACCTCACTCGTTCGAATTTGTACGATATGTCTAAACCCATGTGATGGTTATGTTTAGGGGTGGGGTCAGGGCTAGGTCATTCGTATGAATTCATACGAATTGGCTAATTCGTAAAATATGTACGATTTAGCAAAATCGTACGAATTTGAACGAGGGAGTTCGTACGAATTGTTACGAATTAGCCACCTCGTAAAAATTCGTACGAATTCCCGTGAGATCGGGTTGTCCTTGCACACCGAGTCTGAAATTCTTGTCTGAAATTCTTAAAAAAATAAATCCAACCTCATGTTGTGTCAATCGCATTTACACACTTTCACCCATCATTAAAAAAAAAGATCGGGTTAAATTTTCTGCGTTTTTTGCATCGGTAGTAAGCATTCTGAGAGGTGTTTTGACAATTCAAAACCATTTTACAAGCGAATGCCAAAATCCAGAAATGTACAGTATAGGATCAATTGGTTCATGGAAATTGTTGGTTTGTTTGTGGCTCCAAACAGTTGAATCACTCGGCACAATCCCGCAGCTCCTTGATGAAGAGGTGGAACTCTCTTTCCTCTATACGCAATCTCAGGATTGGATGGACCTAACATTTCCTTTTTTCTCTTTTTAAGAAGAGAATCCATTTATAGTATAGTTTTGCGAATTTTTGTGTGCGAGGACCTTTTTTTTACTAAGATTTTGAAGTCTTCTTGGGGCCCTAGTAGGCCCTATTACCCCTTGTTGAGAACCACTGTGTAACGGGACCCTTATTTATCAGTGTCCAATAAAACTTTTAAATGGCAAATGCTCTTTGTATTTTTAAATAATTACCTTCAAAACTTAACCACAATAAAATGAAACACAATAAATGCTATAAAATATACCATAAAACCAACTATGAATTCCACAAATTCAATACTGCAGGTCTCTAAAGTGGTATGTAAAGGCTTAGGTTTGTATCAGTGTCTAAACGTACAAAAATATAAGTGTACTACTACTTTCTGAAACTATAATTTAATTCTGTTCACTTACTACAGGAGCCATTGGTAAGGTCTCTCCAGTCCACACAAATACCAATCCTTTTGCACTCTGATGCTGCGTATTCCAGAGAGGAACATGCAATAACACTCCTACTGGATGAACAGTAGTCAAACTGGCAGTTCGTCACCACAGACGTAAGATCGATCCTTTCACTGCACTCCGCAAACACCCTGAGTAAAAGGCAAAGTTGTTAACAACACCAATTATATTCGCAATTATAAGTTATTTATCCTTTTTCTATGGAAAAAAGTTTATTTTTATTTCTGAAACACTACTGTTATGCTTATTGACCTCAGTTGATATAAAAACACCATGCAGTGGCTTACTCATGGTGAAGAAGGTCACATATTGGAGGATTACAGGTCGGGGGTGGAGGTGGAGGTATTTCAGGGATACAAGGCACATTGATGGGTGCAGATTTGCAGTAGGGTTTCAGGGGGTCTTCTACGACCCAGTCATATGCAGTCTTATGACAGCAGTTGTCATCTTCAACTACTCCATTTCTTCGTATGCATGACGGACCACCACAACTACCTGAAAAGTCAAATGGTTAAAAGGTTACAGCCATTATATACACTTTTTATATCTATTTTTAGTTCTGTAGTCTGTGATATCTGTCATAAGAACCATATTGTATATCAGGTATCAATTCTCAGACAGCAACATAGTGTCGGCCCAGATCCAGGCCACATCTGGTACATGTGGATTCAACGCTGTCGTTCAACGTTGCAGTCTGGGTTACTTTTAATCGTACAATCCAATGATTGTAATTACTTACCGCACTGTCCTATGGTGTTGTTTTGGAAGTGCTCTAATGCCAGGTTGATTAACAGAGTGTTGGATCCCGAAAGATAAACATAGGAACGGATAGGTTTGATGTAGAGGTAGCAGGCCTGGGTTTCAGTGCTTTCAAACTTGAAGACCTGATTTTCATACGGTGGCTTTATGATTTCCTGGTTCAAAGTAGACTGGGAAAAAAGACAATCTGCTTATCATCCAAGTTAATGTGAACTCTTATGTCCATTTAATCAAAGAAACACAAGTACATGCTGAGAACTTTAGGCTATGGCAAAAATCTTTTTTTTTTTTTTTCAGTATGTGTCAGTTAACGAGTAATGGTGTTAAATTTGGTATTGATAATAAGAGGTTTATTGACCAGTTTAGGTTATACACAATTTGTAAAGGCTACTGTTGATTAAGAAACCTTAAATATTGTTTAAAAAAACTGTTGCAGTTGGAAATCACAATTTCCGAACAATGGTTTCCAGAAACAAAGATTCAAAAGCCTATTACAACTGCCTAATGTATCAGAAATTAGTTTTCATGAGGACTGGTTGGATCAGTTTAAGTTTCTTTGTGAAATCACATTTTAACATCTAAAAATAAACTGTCCTTTTTGTATTCTTGGCTAGAGTAAAGTGAAACGTGGACCACACATTATACCTAGATTCAAATGTATGGCTCTGGGAGACTGATACATTAGAAGAATCACATATTTTAAACATTTTTATTATTATAAACCTACCTCCACTGTTTCCTCCTCTGTTGCCATAAGTGTGACAATGTCATTCCAGTACTTTAATGTGATGCCCCTAGCACAGGACTCATCAGTTCCGCTGAGACAGTAGTAGTTGTCTACAGTAATGCTTAATCTGTGTTGCAAATTTTTCTCCTCCACTAGAGTGTACGTGCAGTTGTCCATGAAGTCAAATTTAATACCCTGGAAGGAAATGTAGTGAGGGTCTCCATAAATCTGACACATGCCTGAAAAAGGAAACGGAAAAATTACAATTATGATTGGTGAAATTCATAAAAGTCCCTCTTATTGTTTCCCATTGACTGGACAAATAGATAACCCCACCACTAACTAATCCAACTGGATGAGTTTATATGGCAGGTTGGTTTACTTACAGTCACACATAAAGCTCTCACAGCAAGTCTCTTTATCTTTAACTAAAGTCATCTTCTTTCCAGGGCAATCCGTCCTGTCTTGGGGTGTTGGGCAGGTTATGGATTTTACCTCAATCACTCCAGAGTTACAGTATTTATCAGCACAATCCTCTCTCCAAGTTTCTCCACATGACCAGCTTTGATTTCGCATCACGTCAATGCACACACACACTGATTCAAAAACGACATAAAAATAAGATCCATCTAATCAACACATGTAACAAATAGAATTGGGTTTAAGGACTCTATGGTGAACATACTGGATTTTAAATCTGAGAAATTGATCCATATGTGCTGTAGTTTAGGCAGTAGTAGGCACTGGGGTTGTGTTATCATGTAGAATTGTATTTGTGAGTAGCAGTTGTACCTGGGGTTGTGTGTTCAGTGGTAGGTATTGTAGTATTGGATACAGGCATCTTCGTTGAAGGGGTCATCGCTGTCGGATTTATAGTCGTATTGAGCACTTGATGTGAGGTTGTATTTAGAGTTGTGATGGCAGAGCCAGTGACTATTACAAAATCTAGTGGGAATGAGAGAAAAAAAGTCCAATGAAAACAATATTTTTTTTCAGTTAATGATCACATTACTGGCTTTATATTAAGAAACCTTAGTTTAAATGTTCATTCTAGCACAAGTCAAGTGTATATTTGTAGTGGTTTCCATACCTGTTGTGGTCACTGTTGTCACTGGAGTGGAGTATTTCACAGATGTTGTAGCTCCAGTTGTTGGCTGAGTTGCTTTTGTGTATTCTGTTGGTATTGTGGTTGTTTGAGTGCTCTCATGTGTTAATGGTCGTGTTGTGGTTTTATATTCTTCTGTGCTGTCAGTCGTTGGCCGTTGTGTTGTGGTTGTGTCTTTCACTAAAGTTGTATGTGACTCTGTTGTGCCCTCAGTTGTTGGTAGTTGTGTTGTGCTCTGTGAAGTTGGTTGCTGCGTTGTTGTTTCATCCAATGGAGTTGTATATTCTTCTGTTGTCGTCCTTGTGGTTGGTTTTTCTGTTGTGTATTTTGTTGTTGGTTTTTGTGTTGTGTATTCTGTTGTGCTCTGTGAAGTCAGTTGCTGTGTTGTTGTTTCATCCAATGGAGTTGTATATTCTTCTGTTGTCATCCTTGTGGTTGGTTTTTGTTGTGTATTTTGTGTTGTTTTGTGTTGTGTATTCTGTTGTGCTCTGTGAAGTCAGTTGCTGTGTTGTTGTTTCATCCAATGGAGTTGTATATTCTTCTGTTGTCATCCTTGTGGTTGGTTTTTCTGTTGTGTATTTTGTTGTTGGTTTTGGTGTTGTGTATTCTGTTGTGCTCTGTGTTGGTTGCTGTGTTGTTGTTTCATCCAATGGAGTTGTATATTCTTCTGTTGTCATCCTTGTGGTTGGTTTTTCTGTTGTGTATTTTGTTGTTGGTTTTGGTGTTGTGTATTCTGTTGTGCTCTGTGAAGTTGGTTGCTGTGTTGTTGTTTCATCCAATGGAGTTGTATATTCTTCTGTTGTCATCCTTGTGGTTGGTTTTTGTGTTGTGTATTTTGTTGTTGGTTTTTGTGTTGTGTATTCTGTTGTTGGTTTTTGTGTTGTGTATTCTGTTGTGCTCTGTGAAGTTGGTTGCTGTGTTGTTGTTTCATCCAATGGAGTTGTATATTCTTCTGTTGTCATCCTTGTGGTTGGTTTTTGTGTTGTGTATTTTGTTGTTGGTTTTTGTGTTGTGGATTCTGTTGTGCTCTGTGAATTTGGTGACTGTGATGTTGTAGTTGTTTCTTCCACAGGAGTTGTATATTCTTCTGTTGTTGGCATTGTGGTTGTTTTTGTTGTAGAGTATTTTATTGTTATTTTTTGTGTTGTGTAGTCTGTTGTGCTCTGTGAAGTTGTTGACTGCTGTTTTGTGGTTGTATATTCAGTTGTGCTCTCAGTTGGTGGTAGTTGTGTTGTGGTTGTTCCTTCCATTGGAGTTGTATATGATTCTGTTGTGCTCTCAGTTGTTGGAAGTTGTGTTGTGTATTCTGTTGTGCTCCCTGAAGTTGGCGGCTGAGTTGTGGTTCTGTCCATTGGAGTTGTATAGGATTCAGTTGTGCTCTCAGTTGGTGGTAGGTGTGTTGTATATTCTGTTGTAGTTTGTGTAGTTGTCTGCTGTGTTGTTGTTTCTTCTACTGGAGTTGTATATGATTCTGTTGTGCTCTCAGTTGTTGATGGATGTGTTGTGGTTGTGTATTCTGTTGCCCTCTCAGTTGTTGATGTTTGCATTGTGTATTTGGTTGTTTCCGCAGTTGTTGGTGATTGTGTTGTATATTTTGTTGTGCTTTGAGTTGTTGTTGGTTGTGTTGTGTATTTTGTTGTGCTTTGAGTTGTTGGTTGTGTTGTGTATTTTGTTGTGCTTTGAGTTGTTGTTGGTTGTGTTGTGGTTGTGTGGGTCATTGCCGTTGTAGATGGCTGAGCAGTTGATGTGTAAGAAATTGTAGTCGTAGTTGTAGTCGTAGTTGTTGAAATGCAGACAATTTGTCCATCAAAGCATTTACTGAAAAAATAAATGAATAAATAAGTAAATAATGAATCTGAATAGTCAACCCGATCTCACGGGAATTCGTACGAATTTTACGAGGTGGCTAATTCGTAACAATTCGTACGACCTCACTCGTACAAATTAGTACGATTTTGCTAAATCGTACATATTGTACGAATTAGCCAATTCGTATGAATTCGTACGAATGACCTACCCCTGACCCCGCCCCTAAACCTACCCATCACGTGGGTTTAGACAAATCGTACAAATTCATACGAATTGGTCGTGAGATAGCGTAGGAATAGTATGTGTATAGTTCTGCGATCTAAAATGTCTACCCAGCATTACAACAAGAGTCAACAAAATGGCTTACCAGCATTTATAGGGAGTGCAGATTTCATCAGGAGGTGACAACAGTCTGTTCATGATGCTACAAGTGCAGTTGTCCAAAGTGGTACATTTACCTATGTTTTCATCATAATATGGGGTCTCCTCAGGGCATCTTGGGTAGCAACCTGAAAGTTTCATGCAGTGCTTTATGAAAACCAAAAGACATTTGGGACTTTTAAACTGTTTTCACAAGCAGTACTGACCCAGACAGCAACATATCGGCCCAGATCCAGGCCACATCTGGTTCATGTGGATTCAACGAGTATCAGATGTGGGCCGGATTTGGGCCAACACTATGTTCCTGTCTGGGTATGCATTGCAACAGCTAGATTAAGAAGCAGAAACATAAAGGGGAAAAAAATACCTTCAAGTTTTCCTGTAAAGCGTTTATTAGTTCCACAGGTCTTAACCTGGCCACAGGGATCGTAATGCCAGGTGCTTATACCCACGTCATTGTAATAGTCACAATACACCGCTGTGGAGATTAACAAACACTGTAAACACTTGACTAACCCAATAATTACCCAGGTATGTCTTTACCAGGAAATGTTAATTCCAAGAAATTCTTAATTACAATAGAATACAATACATACGACACAAATCTGGGGATCTCCAGTTGATGCAAACGTCCTTTGCACTGCATGCCTCTGCGTAAGCTGAGACAGCTGTGCAGAAACCGAGAAACTTTCCTTCAAACTCACAAGAACAGGACTCCAAAACACAGGCCTGGTAATAAGGCTCTGGATCCACCTAGTATTCATAAGAAACGCAACGATTACTGGCTGATTTCCTCATGCGAAACAAGTACATTGTGTACCTGAACCAACTATCAAACCCAGAAACCGTTTGATGAACTTAAAAGGTCGTAATTGGTTGATTTACAAACAGTGATTTGTTGTTAATGAAGCAAGATTAACTTCAAGCAACAAACATCAGAAACGACATGATTTAGTTGACTACCGTCACTCAAAGTACCTTCAGATGGCAATCTTTAAAGGTGTCTGATATCAGGATCATACATCGCCGCTGAGCCCAGGCTGCACAGTAGGAGTGACGTTCACAGGGAAATATTTCATGGGTCACATCAGAGCATGGCGGATCTGCTCTCTTCCAACTATTCCCAAAGTCCAGAACACTGAAAACTTCAGAGGAGCTGCTCGACAAAAAGTCATTTGTAACCTTTCCATCAAAGTTCCCACAGAGTCCCAACACTCGGCCCTAATGTTCCACAGTCAAAAGACAATATTACATTGTAGGAAACTCAACCCTGATAAATCACAATGTAAGGATTGAATTTAAAACTTAAACATTATTAAATGTGTTTCCTTACTCTCCACTGGGACTCTAGTTGGATGGTGACCCTGGTGTGTTTGTCCCAGATTACAGTGATGCCCAGACTGGGAGCTGTGATGATGATGTAGAGGCCCACAGTGTGGATGGAATAAAGGGGCTCTGCCAGCAATGCATTCCCTGCCTGAAATCTCTCAGTTACCGTCATATCGCTCAACATCAGAGTTACTGTACCCTGTCAAACATTGAACAACCACAATTTCATCATTATGCCGAACAATTTTTACTTGGTTGAAAGTTGAAATATTGACAACAGTTCCTTTATATTCACAGAAGATCATATACCAGGAGCTCCACTGAGATGGCGCGGGAACACGTCAAAGACTCGTCACAGCAAGGAACGCTCTCAGATTTAATTGCAAACTGTCCACTTGAGCCTGCGTCCTTTTACAAGAAATATTAGAGGTTGAAAATGTTTGAGTCACGAATATGTTGCACAATATTCAATCAGTTGAGCATTAATTGGTTGTTTTTTATCCATATTTAGCTGTCAGTTTCATTTTTTTGACTTTTTCTTGACATTAATTCATGCTTAACTAATGCACAGATAATCATGAGTCAATGTATAACTAATGAAGAACTAAACCATTAATTAATGATTACTGCATCAGCAACTAATAAAGAGTCTATATGATTAATAGATTAAGTAAAACATGAATTGCTATTAATTCAATGTGTCATTGTGTATTAATTCCTTAATAACATATTTTATGAACTAATAGTGTAAATTATTGTGTTAATTACCACAATTAGTCAAAGCTATGCACTTCAACTTCCAGTTGTCTGCTTTAATTAATCATTAGCTAATGATTTGCAAAGGTATCATTATGTTATGACTTTACTTGTTGGGGCACATCATTATTAACTAGTCATTTAGTAATTGTAGTAATTTCCACATGAATTTGCACTAACAATGAAGTAATTAATCATGTATTGATGCTTATTAGTGTACCCGTCATATTGTCTGAAAGTTGAAATACAAGGCATTGGCTCATTCTGGTAATTAACATATTAATTCACACTATTAGTTAAAAAATGAGTTAATCCACAATTAAATATTTAATTAATAACAATTCATGTATGAACAAATACATTAACCTTACAGACTCTTAATTAGTTCCTAATGTGGTAATCATTAATGAATAGCTTAGATAATCATTAGTTACACATTAATTCAGTATTATCTGTGCATTAGTTAAGCATGAATTAATGCTTATTAGTGCACCTGCATTGTAAAGTGTTACCGAAACATCTGCCAACATCATAATTACTCTTACTGTGTGCATTACAGTATGCATCGAACTCATCCCCAAAGGGTAATTTATCACATGGCAAACACTCACCTTAACTAGAGTGTACTGACAGTGGCCATCGAATTTGTACCATTTGGAGTCAAAAGTGTGGTATTGCCCATTCCCGAAAACCTCACATACTCCTGAACATGCCTCATCAATACAAGACCACTCACCACCTCTACATGTGCTGTGAGACACAAAACCACCGCATTCAAATCCTTATTACCAAAAAATATTGTTTTAATTCATTGTAATTTTATTGGGCAGGATATTTCAATATTTGGTTTGGAAGAATCATATGTGAACCTATAAGACAAGGCTCTTACCATATTTTGCAGTTTGTCTCCACACTCTGCCCAGTTTCATACACCCTCCCACTGAATTCACAGGTGCAGTTTTCATGAGTCACACAACCACCATAATGATCTTCAAAAAGTCCCCCAGGACAATAACAGCCACTAATACAGCTGTTATCATCAGTCTGTGAATACAAAGCAGCAATTTCACTCCCACTCTTGCAGAAAATTAAGACATTAATACTTGCATATGGCAAGATGTCATAATGATTTATGATTTTCTTTTTCAAATGCTCACTACGGGTTTGGTCAAGCTTTCACAGGTTCTATGGGCCGTGTTCACTGGTATTTGTAAACAATCCACGCAAATCTTTCCCACTGTGCAATCTAGAAAAAAAAGGCATAGAACTTCATAGAAATCGCAGGTAAATGAATCATGGCATTTGAAAGTTTCAATGTTGATTAGTCAGTGTTATATTAGTTGAAATTCAAGGGTTGAGTTCACTAAGAAAGTCATCTTGTGATTCAGAGTCTGTATGTCAAAATTCTGTTTTAAAAACCCAGTAGCACCTCATTGCAGTACACAAGATCCAGGGGGCGGAGTTGGATCCAGATCTAAGGGTTGAGATGGGTAGGGTTAGGGGTGGGGTTAGGGATTAGGGGTGGGGTTAGGAATCAGGGGGCGGAGATGGGTAGGTTTAGGTATATGTAAGGTGGGAACTCCTCCCCCTGGATTTTGTGTTCTACAGTGAGGACCATCTCCAAAAACCACTATGGAATTCTGCAGTGCCGCTTCAATTTAAATATACATACTACATGGGGTACTAAACCAGAGCAAATAGCACCTGCAGTTTAGTGGATTAACCCCTGAATGTAGTATTTTGTCAAATTAAAAAACTTACTGCAAATTTTGGGACAATGGAGTTGTCCATTTTCACACAAGCTGTAATACAAGACAAACATTAGATTATTCGGCTCTAATTTGTACTCAAAAACATTGTTTAAGCCTTGTTTTTATCCTTACCATTGGCGTCCACCAATAACCACTGGGCCTGGAGGTGCGATGCCTCCTGGGTGGTGGCAGGTGCACTGTGAGCGAGGACTGCAGGTCAGTTGGTTGCTCAGGTGAGAGTCTGATGTACATCCACACCCCTCCACAGGGTCGTCCAGCACCTCACAGGTGGGATCAGGGCCCGAGAGGGAACGGCAGGTACGGTTACATGCCAAAGTGGCGTAAGTAAACCTCAGGTTGCCCACACAAGGAGGAACTGAAAAGCACAATGATTATTTGTAGAGTGGGTATTTAGCCATACATAGATGCTCACAAATAATAATAATATAAAAAAAATCACATGGTGATGTAACCATTACAACATTTTGTTAATCTTGTTAGTAGATACATCAACAAAACATGAAATGTTTTCGTATATATGGTTTGTTATTTTTTTCACAAATGAATGACTTTTGGAAGTAGAATTTGATTACCATATGCAGTTTTAATAAAAAATGAACGTCAAAACATTAAATGCAGGATTTCTAGCATAAAAAAGTCATGATTTCTATTACTCGAGAGTAGATGTTAAAACATCATGTTGATTTGTACTAGGCTTTTGACAAGATAAGCAAAACTTCTCCATCCATTTACGCTTCTTTCCATATGGTGGTGTGACTCCCCTTCTGTCCGGCATTAAAGGCTGCAGTGTACTTGGCGCGTCAGCACACACAACGGCTACAACTACAGGACCAGTACGACAACCGTCTGGGTTGAGCCGAGCAGGGGACATCTCTAGGGTCTTCAAGTGGGCACCTTCCGTCCTCAGTGTTTCGTCGACTAGCCCACGATGCCTCAAGAGGCCTCGAGAAGGAGTGTCCCCCACTCAACTCAGCCCAGTTTACTGACATCTACATCACTCCTGCTGTTGAGACCTTCTCGCAATCTCTCCGCAACCGAACCATACGCGCCAACCCGTTTGACTAAGGCTGTCAAGCCCCACTAGTGCGTTAATACAGTTTCAATGGAAACGGTTCCGTATGGCATACCACCTACCGCAAAACTCTGCCCAACCACCTGTCTGCCCAAAAATCTGCCCAACCACCAGTCATTCACGCAATATACACAGGAACGTAATGACTGGAAATACTATGCAACCTATACAAATAAACCAATAGACTCTTCAAGTTTTTCAAGAACTCAACCAAAGCATAGCATGGCGGCCTGTACACAGCCAGCTAGAATCTTTCCGTCTCAACCACAGCCAGTTGCTGCTGCTTTCTGCTGCTTCAGATAAGTTGTTTACTGTGCGACGCAACTCTTGGCCACCGAATCCGACTTCTCTGAGGAACAGGGTTGTGGAGTGTGCCGCAAAACCTTGACTACCCACTTCCACTGGATAAACCTGGACTCTCCATCCTCGCTGTACTGCTTCAGTGGCCAGATGAGTATAGCGCAGTTTCTTCCTCTCATATGCCTCATCTACCGCATCCTCCCTTGGCACTTTTAACTCTATCAGTTGAACAATAGCCACGTTTCCACTGCAGGAACTTTCCCCAAGAACTAGGAACTTTGGGGTGGTACTTGGTGTGTTTACACCACAGGAATCAGGGTCTAAATGAAGTTCCGGGTAAAAATTTCCCCCACAGAAAGTCTCTGCTGGCGAGGTGGTACTTTTTCAGAGTTCAGGAACATCCGTGCTGAACATCCTGATTGGTTCTCACCACGCTATTCTTTCTGCCCGATGGCGCGCGTTCGTCCCATCCATCTCATGGTCAATGTCCGCTGATAACAAACGGCTACTTTTATATCTAGCATTACGAGCTTTCTGAATGCGCTTTGGGTGCTCGTCTGTTTTCTGCCGTTTTGTTAATTACCTCGTTAGTAAGGCTAGGAAGAGCAGTCGCACGCAGTTCAACGTCACTACGTAATCTTCCCACCCCGGACCGGTTCTTTAGTACGCGGTGTAAACGCAGTAAGAAAGCGGTCTGGGGGAAAAAGTTACTGTGAAAAAAGTTCCTGGGACAAATAGTTCCTGGTAATTGCGGTGGAAACGCGGCTAATGTGTGCTGATCCAGACCACAAAACAATATCTGGTCATAGGTTAGTAGTCGCAATCTCAGGTGGAAAAATAAGCCGTTGATCAAGATCTAGCAGCTTCCAGTTGTCCTGGGCGAGAATTGGTGTTAACACCTTTTCTTGGTGGTAGCTCACCTGGGCGGAGGAATATTGTCTTCTGCGTGTAATGTTTTGTTAGAACAGACGCCAACTTATTGGTCATACTACCCTTGCCTTCCAATGCCAAAGCCAAACATTGCAGTACTTGGTCATGGCGCCAAGTAAACCGACCCTAGCTAAGAGCCAACTTACATCCTGTCAAAATGTGCCTTAATGTGGCAGGTGATGAACACAAAGGACAAGAGGGATCCTCTCCTACCCAGAGGTTTAGGTTCTGCGGTGATTGAAGAACATCATATGTTGACCTAATAGGGAAACTGATCCTACTCTCTTTCATTGAACAAAGGTCTTGCCAGCCCAACTTGCGTTTTTGCACACACTCCCATCTCATCCACTCTCCTTGCTTGGCCTGGGAAAAGCCCTTTATTAACCTCATACTCTCCTCCTGCTTTCGCATCTCGTTGACTACCTGCTTCCTCCTTTGAGATGTCATCTCTCACGCAACAATGTTGCTACAGCCCTGTCGCATTTTACGTAAATGTGTTTGCTGGGAGTAGACGCAAGCACCCAGACACCATCCACCATGCTGTTAGCCCTAAAAAAATCTAACTCATTCTATCATTACCTTACAGATATCCTAGAGCAATAAGCCCACTACCTCCCCCTAGTGTCCGTTAGTAGCTTTACATACCAAAGGGAAACTAATGTGACAGGTCAAGACTGTCAAGACAGTATGTTTAAGCTGAGTTTTTGAGTATTATTTTCACACTGAATAAAAGCTTGTCACTCACTGCAGTTTGTTTCTGATCTCCAGTCCTCAACAGTGATCCCTTGAGTTGCACAGGCTTTTGCGTAGTTTCCAAAGGAAACACACAAACATTCCTGTAATGCAGCCGAGCACTGACATGTTCTCTTTACACAAGCCTGAGAAGAGTCAAATACAGATTAATAACAAGAAAACAACCATGCATTTCAAAAGCATTAAATATGTTTATGGATTGGAATTTATCTGTACCTCGACAAAGGGCAAAACAGGTACATAACCGTGACACACAGCAAACACTCCTTCAGGATCTTTCAGTTGGTCACAGTTGTTCTCAGCAAATATCTCTGCAAATGGAATGAATATACGTAGTCATCTTTAAAAATAACATTAATATTGTTAAATAGTTGAGCTGCCATCTTTACCATTGTCAGTGTTGATGCATCCAGTAATTGGGGTACAACTGCCCATTGACCAGGACTGGGCAAAAAGCTGAGCCGAACTTTCTATGATGCCACTAAAAGTGGTGAAGTCATCGCTGGTGTCATTATTAAAAGTTCCACAGAGACCTATTATAATAAGAATAATACAAATTATATTTAAACTTTCATTTTTGATTGACGCTATATAATTATATTACTCTGAAATTCTGCATGGCCCTGCATGATATTGGCTTGTTGGAATATTACATATTCAAACCTTTGGTATTTTCGGTTGGTGGCAAATTCAAATATATTTGAATTTCTGGAGAGATTTGAACTTGCATTTTCAGGCCAAATGAAGTCTGAACTTGAATGAACATTGAAGACTGCCAAAAGACTGTGGTTGACTCTGAAATAAAACCCAATAACATATACAATATAAAGGAGAAAGTAAAGCTTATGCTAATACTCCACATTTCATTAAGCTTTAAGAATATTTCAAACTTGTTAATTCCAAAAGAGCCTACCAGTCTGTGACAGGTCACTAATTTCCATATTGTTCATTTGTATGCTGTTTGCAGAGAAGGTATATCTTTCCTGGAATGAAAATAGCATTATTTAGTTTATAAGAGCAGTGGCATTGATGTCACGATATGGGATTTCATGATCAAGAATAATGTTTTAAAAAATACCTACAGACCACCCTAGTATGTCTGCAGTGTTAAAATACAAATAATAATCTCATATTCATAATAATTTAGTTAAAATTAAATATTCTGCAAAAAAAAATGCAAATGTAAAATAAAAAAAGGACAACAGACAAACCTGGTTGATATTAAGATACGCCTTTTCTATGACAACAGTTTGCATAGAATACTGAATGTTCAATGTCCAGTTAAGCCCCTGGGTGACATACCAAATAGTATACATTTTAATATCAGTAAACCTCAAAATATCATATTTTAGTAAAATCTTTCCATTTCAGTTACCCTTGCAGCCACAAATGTGCATCTGTCAAGTAGAGAATACAGTTTGCCATCAAATGTAGTGATGAATTGGCCCTCAATAATACACTTGGCTGGGCATTTGTTTGGAGAACATGCCCATTTGCCTCTGATGCAGGTACTGAGGGGATAAAAACAACAAAAATGGCTCAAGTTATTTTATTTTTTTCTACAGAATATATTCAAATCACACATTTTTTCTAGATGCAAAGACTGTCTTTTTAATAAACCTTGTTGATATTCTTAATATGAATTATACTATTATCAGGTTTATGTTCTTCGGTTTGTTCTTATTTTTTTCTGTGTTTCTGTTCCTGTGCCCCTTGTTCTTGCTTCTCATTTCATGTCCTAATTTGATTTGGTCTCCCTGTTTATTGATTCCTGTCACTTCTCTTCTAGTTTCCTTGTCAGCCCATTGTCCTGTATTTTCTATGATGTTGCGTGCATTAGTTTGTTCCAGGTATTTCTCTTACTCTTTTGGTTTAGAATTATCTTCTTTGTTTTGTTCAATAAACTACATTCCTCTTCCTTGCCTGCCCTGAATGTAACAGAATACCGGACGGACCAAGAGAAGGTTTAAACATGGAAGTGCCTTTCGTTCACCACCTCCTCCTCACCCAGGATGATCTCTCCCTTGAGAACCACACTAGAGATTATTTTGGACCTCGCCTATCTTACTCACTATCCTGACAGTACTCTCATTTCTTTCTTTTTCCTTTGACTACACTTAATGAGAACTTAAAATAACTTGTTCCCCTGCCCGTTTATCTAAGGAGGTTTCAAGACTTTGTTGAGCTAGTGCTCTTGCTAAGTGTTTCCTCTTTCACTATGAGTGAGGTGGAGGAGGACAAGCCCAACTCAGACCCTGAGCTGGACCCCAAGCCCCCTCACAAACATAGAGCCAGTGACAAACATCATCCCGCAGAGGACCCTTTGTCCATGGAGAGTTTGACCCTGGAGCCAGTGCCTGTAGCCATGTCCATTCCAGAGGGAGTAGAGCTTGACATCCTGGAGCTGATTCCCATTCATCACCCTCCAGTTCAAGTGAAAGACTTGACTCTCTGGTCCTGTCCAGTTCCCTGGCCACATAAGTCAACATCCGACGTTTTAGGGTACCCTTTCGATCCCGGGGAGTCATCCATCTGACGCTTTACCTTTAACGTCAGTTTGATGACACGGGTAGGTTTAGGTCTGGGGTAGGGTTAGGATTAGATAGCATCATCTAACTGATGTTAAAGGATACCCTAAAACGTCGGATGTTGACGTATGGTCAAAAGCGTCAGTTGTATGACATCTTGGGATGAGACTGTGCTGTCAATTGTCGCTCTGCCTAAGGCAAGGACTTACAGTCCTTTGAATGCACCATGTCCCTCCACCCCTTCAGCTTTGTTGGGCTCCGCCAGCTCCACCTTAGTCCTCGGTCCCACATCAGTCCTCTGGCACCCTGGCTCCACCTCTGCCGCTCATCACCACGGCTTCACCTTGGCCTTTAGGACTTAGGGTGACATCCGGTTTCTGTTTTTTCTCTACTCCACCTGGGTCTCTTGCTCTCCTGGCTCCACTGCTGGTGGTCGTATACTCTGGGTTGTCAGCTATCTCCTCCCTCCATCATCTCCTCCATGGCTCCTCCTTCCCTCGACTCACCCTTAGACTATTCCTCCCATTCCCCCATGAATTCTCCCTTCCCCAATTGACCTCCACCCACCACCACTCCCGGGAGGGAAGAATGAAGTTTGGCCTATGTTCTGTTTTATGGACTTTTTCATTGTTTCTCTGTGTTTCTGTTCCTGTGCCCTTTGTTCCTGCCTTTCGTTTGTTTTCATAGTTACTAGTTATTGATTCTATTCACCTGAGTCCCATCTTTTCCTTGTGAGGAATGTCTACATATTTCAGACCTCAATTTCAGTTAGCCATCTGTCCTGTATTTTGTCACGCTGTTACTTTAGTTGGCTCTTTTTGTTTCTCCTATGTTTCTGGTTTTGGATTATCATCTTTGTTTTGATTAATAAACTATATTGTCTATTTAATAAACACTATAAATAGATTTGATACAACGAAAATGATCTAAAATCTTGTTGCCAATTCATTAGCTGTCCTTAATTGAGGGAGGAAGCTATTGAGAAAAAAAATATAGTTCTCACCAATTCTGGCACTTTGTTCTGCGTTCCTGTCCTGGTGCATATATTTTCTTTGCATGTTCACATGGGCATTCTTCCACATTTATGGAATGGTAACCATCAGCATGATCATTCAAGACTTTTCCTGAAATTGAGAAGAAAAATGTTGCAAATTATATTTAAATGAATAAATTAAAACAATAAATTTTTGCATCTTCTCAAAAGTGAATGGTTTGAGGGATCGTTGATTTAAGTTAAATGCTTAAGGTATGAATTCAATTAAAATCAAATATCTGTGAAAACACATTTCCTTCTTTTTAAAGCGAATCAAGGACAAACCTCCAGCAGGCAGGCAGGTGCTAGTAAATTCTGTGGTGTTATTCTGTGGGTTGCTGCAGGTTGGGGGGAAAGCGGGACCCATCTCCTGATAGTATAGGTCTCCAGGACAAAGAGGTTGGGCTGCAAACAAGACAAATTTTTACCATTTCAAACATAGCAAAAAAAAAATAAAAAATGTTAACAAAAATTAATATGATAACATTTCTCATTAATTTATAAACTGTGTTCTTACAGCAGTTGTTTTTTGATCTCCATATTGACAAATATGGACTGGAGCTCCCACACATAAGTGAGATCTCTTTAAAAAAGGAGCAATTTGCTTCCTGATGCCATAAGCCATTCATATGTTTTTTACATAGATCCAAGTAAAAGTTGTATAATTTCTTGCCGAGACATTCGTAAGCATGGGACAAAACATCACAAGCCTAAACAAAAAATACAGATATGGTTAGTAGACAATCAATACATTTTAAAGTAGTTATATCTTATAATAGGGCACATCATGTAATCCTTTGCATATTTCACAAATATAAAACATAAAACAATGCATAATAGGAATCATTTTATGTACAGGCTTCATACAAAGCACAACACCATAAACAGTTCTGGGTAGCATCTGATTATATGTAATCTGGATTAGTAATCTATGTAATCAGATTTTTTTTAATACTTGTAATTAGATCATATAACATTTCAAAAAAACAAACAGCATACAGTAACTTTTTTTATTGAGTACATATTTAATATTCACAAAATGGCAAAAAAATTATATTTTTTCTTTCTCTTTATATTTGTCATCAGTATGATATAAGATTATACTAATCAAATCAATGGTTTAAACCAGTTAGGTGAAAAGTAATCTAAAAGTAAGTAACAATTAGTCAGATTACATTACCTAAAATGTGTATAACAGATTACATAACTAACTACAATTTGTATCATGTCATTTGCTTTCAGTAACGGACTATAATTTGTAAGTAAAATAATGCTACGGTTCCCTTACTTAATAAGTATGGTAAATTTAAGTCAGTTTTGTTGCTACAGTATTTTTATTGTAAAGAGCTGGCAACTTTACCAGCTTTTTTAACCTCAAATTTTATGTTAGTTGTATCATTTTACTGTACATATTTGTTCAGCTGAGCAGAACCTCACTTTGTTTCCCGGACTAAGAGAGTCTTGTGTCAGGCATTGCCCATCAGAGAAAACACTGGCAGATATCAGCTGCTGCATAGTTTCTATGAACAAAACACCATAAAAAAGTATTATATCTTGACACTCGTTATTTAAACAGAGCATACTCATAGAGTGCACTAACCTGAGCTGTTCTGGTGCCCACAAAGTCCACTCATACCCTCCACTAAAACCTGGTCCAGTTGCACCTATAAAAGATTTGCTCAAAGATTACATATAGTAAGGTCAGAGTTGCCTTATATGAGTCGCTATAGTTCAACAATCACATATTTTTGGGTAAATTATGTTAATATTTTAAACAATTTTGGACTGTTGTCTTTAAAGGAAACTCACCCAGAGTGAACTGACGCCACTAGAGACATTGTACCAGGTGACAGACAAAGGCAAAACTCTGCTTTCGAACCTGGTATAGATTCCATAATGAAACACATTCTGATAGGTGTGGTCGTAAGGAATGGGAATTCTGCGAAAAGATCAACAAATTTGAGATATTTAATGTGTGCCTTAAAAAAATAAGCAGCTGCATTGTAATGTTTTAAAGTACAATCTACTTGGAAGTTCAAGTCATTTCAACTTAAATTACATTAAACTGACTTTTAAAAAAATGAGTTGAATTTTGTATAACGTATAAAAAGAATGTAAAAAGATGGCATAACTTATTGATCTTTTTTTTAAAAGATTTTTTTGTATATGTTTTATATCAAATTTTTTTTTTTACCAAAAAAAACCAACAAAAACATTTGAATCACAAAATACTTCTACAATGTGGCCCATATGGCTCCAAAATGGTATCTTACATGATATAGTATGAATAAAAAAATTCAAATATGTGTTTGATTCATTTCACATCAAGCTTTTATATATTCTAGCAAAAACCCAATTTGGGAAAATTTGTGATTTCGGTCGTCAAATATTTGATTTGCTATATGATTTCCTATATGATTTCTATTAGAAAGAAATATGAAGTGAAACCAATATTAAATAGCACACACAGCAGATTTTATAATATACTAGTATAATGTCATAAAATTATACAAGAAAACAAGACAATTACAAGTAGTTCCATAAAAATGCCGAAATTGTATTCAACTAATCAAAAAGTGTGTCATAAATTGCCAAACCTGCTGCCTTCCACTGTAACAGTGTTATTGTGAATGAGGGTCGTGATTTTATTGACAATGATCTCCACTCTGTTCATCAGGCCGTTCAGTCCACGCTGGACGATGATATGACAGTTCACTCCAGCATGAGTGAACTGTGTGAGCGTCACAGGACATGTGGACTTCAGGTGAAATGCCGTTTTGTTGAAGGTATAAAAGACGCCGCTGCCATACGTCTTACACTCATCTAGAAAAAAAAGAAACCAAAATAAATAGGACCAAAGTAGACATAACATCTCCAAAGTAGACATAACATCTCAAATGTATTTTGATTGTGTCTCATAACAAAACCAAGTGTTTTTTTTTTCTCTCATTATAATTGGACATGTAACCAAGTATGTATTAAAGAAGATAAAATGCTTTCTTACTTTGAGCTGCAAACCCAGAGTAGACGTGGCCTGCAAATAAAATACGAAAAAAAAGTTTAAATTCCATTTTTTTTTTCAATTAACTAGATTAATCATTAGTCAATATAGCAATTTACATACATTCTTTAATAAATTAAACTACATAAGTAATCAAAATGAACCAACCTGAGAATACAACAATTATCCCTAAAAATATTGCCTGTTGCAGAGCCATGCTATCTGGTAAAGCTCTGCTCGCTGGTGCATCAGGACTACAGAAATGTGTCTTGAAGCCCTTTTATGATGAGATCCACTTCACAAATTTGAATAGCATGAGGAAATAGCCACTAGATTAAACATTGACTATATTCACATATAACTAATAAGGGGGTATGGAACACAAGAGCAAACAACAAAAGAGCTTTTTATATGCTCTCATTGGACAACTGTGGAGAAAATCGAACATTGCTTTGTTGTTTACCTCCAATGGCACGTAGGGCATTCTCTATTTGACAAAGTTCCTGGTTATGCTCAGTGAACAGGTGGATTTGATTACAGGAACTTAGCTTGATGGGAATAAGATCCCATAGCTCAATCACGGAAAATGCTAATCTTTATAGGTTTTCAAATGTGCAATTAAAGAACATACGCAACTCGAATCCCAAAAGGGGTGTTTTTGCAGTGATGCCATGGAAGAAGCATTTTTGGTTCCTTAAAGAACCTTTCAGTGACCTGTTCTTAAAATAACCATTTTTCTTTTTGCTAAGTTAGAATAATGCCAATGAAAAACCTACGGACTTACTTTCTAACCATCCCCAAACTTTAAAATGATTCAAGAAAACAAAAAACAATGTTTGCATTGTAATCTTGTGCAATTATAGACATAATTTATGACCTGTTACCAAGAAAATCTTACAATCAATTTACTTGATTCTCTTTCTTTCTCCTCCCCCCAGCATGAATAGGTAAATTATTACATCCTTCTGCTCCAGGATAAAACAGACAAATTCATGACAAGAACCAGAGAAGATCCTTATGGCAACATGACTATTAAATTGTGACTGTTAATATTAGATAAATATTAGCTAAAACAAATAAAGCTGGTTATCCTTTAGAAGTCTGCAAAACAGCATTCACCATGGCACTATATTCAATTAATGGGTTTATTTTACTTTTCAGCTATTTTAACTACATTTTATTGAGTCTTGTTTAATAAATAGCATATTTTCGAAGCTGTAAACAAAACATTTTACAATAAGATTTCATTTGTTTACACTGGATTACTGAAATACAAGAAAATACTATTTCAGCCTTTCTTCTTACTTCATGTTTAATTCAGTGTTACTTGCTGTATCTTTGTAATAATTTGTTAAATTTAATGATTTCTTCAAAGTCCTACGCCAATTTTTTCAGTGTAAATGTGGTTTTTATTAAGTTGTGAAAAGTTCTGTGAATAAATGGTGACCATTCAAATATTCTGCAATTTGGTTGCACTTTATTTGACAGTACATGTACTTACAGTGTACCAAAGAAAGTACCGGGTAAAGGTATCTACATGGGTTAAAGTTAGGTATAGTGGTAGCCTACTGTAGGTTCAGGGTTAGTACCTTATTTCCCAGTAATTGTCAATGCAATAATAAGTAGGCCCTATGTATGTAGGCTACATGGGGAACAGGACTGTAAAATAAAGTGTAACCCATAATTTTTTACTTTTATTCTTGAAAAAAAAATATATTATCTAAACTACCATTGAACACTAAAGTAACTTCTAAACCTGTAAAAAAAAATGTTGCCTCACAAAAATCAACAATTGAGGGCAAGTTTTAGCCTACAGTGCCATTTACAAGGTCTATTCTGTCCAGCAGGTGGCAGTATGTCTATTTGTCTGGCGTTTGTCTGTACATTCAGTCTATGGTAAACAGTCTCCAAAAATCAACCCACAAAGCTGAATCCAAATACAAAAAGTAATGTTTTCATGCCGATTCGAGATTAAATGACTTGTTTTTCAGAATAATCATTAACAATCACTTCAGCTCGAGTAATGTCCAAGCCGTGTTCTGATTTAGCTACCTAGAATCAATTCATATAATCTAAATAGCCACACTCATGGACATACTCATCCTAGAATAGCACTCTTATCGGGAGAAGTCGGTAACCTAGGTGACTGTTTGAAAACATGAAAGGTAGAATAATGAACACGCACTTCTGTTGGAAAACTGCTGAACAATCATAAAGAAAAACGATAGGATGAATGTCCTAAACATTTGTCAGTAAGATTAGAAGCAATAATTTGGGAGATTCTTCTGTTTTCTTGTCATGTCGTTAATTTTGAACGAATTGACTCGGGACCAAGTTGTCTCGGGGAGTGATTCGTTAATTTTGTGTTGACAGCGCATGCGCAACATCCCGTGGGTTCTGTACTGGAAACAGAAATGATTAATTCATTCATCTGTCGAGTCTCTTAGGGTTTGGGTCAGAGTCTTTCGTTCTTCTTCCCAGCAAACAAATTTAGGTTCTGGGAACGTTCTGGGAACGTTAGCTTTTGGTTCCCAGAACGTTCCTAGAACTTTCCCTTAAGGTTAAGGGAACGTTCCCGGAACATTCTCCTAACGTTATAAAAATGGAACCTAAAAATAACCTACATGGAACGTTCCTATAACGTTCTTGTTTGGTTCCCAAAAAAATATCCTCATCAGACCATTCGGGAACGTTAGGGGAACGTTCTGTGTTTGCTGGGTTATCAGTCCCATAGTGGCTATGCTGTCGGTACCGGAAATAGAAATGATTTGTTCACCTCTCGAGTCTCGGGTCTGATTCTGAGTCTTTCTTTCTTTTGTCACGTGATAAACGAATGACTCGAACCCCAAGACTCAGAAGATGAGCTAATCAATTTTGTATCCGGGAATGCTTCCATTGAAGGAAGTATTTTTTTATACTTTTACGCCCCTATTCGGACGGGACTAGTTTAACATGTGAGGTATCTGTAATAAGCTTCTCTGTGATTTTATAGTCCCGTCCGAATGTGCCATCTCAGTGATCAATACAGACAATTAGTAAAAAGGTCCGGAAAAAGGATAATAGCGAATAGACCCACTGAAAAATATGTACGTAAATAGTAATTTCGTGCCCAAAAGTAGTTTTTTCTCGTTTTTTTTCTAGACGTCAACGTTCTAGTCGCTGGGACAAGTCTGTGGTAAAACTCAAGTTAATTCAATCTAAAAGTTCATTAATACATCGTTCGACCAAACATAACTGTTTTATATGAAATAAAATATAGGTTTTAGCTGTTTGCGCACATGATTTCAGGAAGCGCACATGACGACAGGAGGTTGACGTGGATGTGCAAATCGAGTTACCCTCCAACTACTTAGTTTTACTGAGATATCTTATCCCGTGCGAATTGGCCATTAATATTACAGGCGTCCTGTGGTAAAATTACATAACTCCATCAACCCTTGTAAAGATAATCCCTTCCGTATGCAGGAAACGTACTATATTTCAGAGTAAAATGGCTTCTCGAACAAGAAAACATGTAAGGCAGGACTAGAGTATATTCTAGAGTCCAGGAATAGAGTCCTAAACCTCAGTCCATCTATTAGATGGTTGAGGTTTGCTATTGATCAATCACCTTAATGCTGTGCATACACAAATTATCTTCACATCTAGATCTTTATTTTTAAACCAGCTGTCTGACGGGCCTATTCACCTACAGCAAAAGAAAAATGTGGTTGAATTAACTGATTGCGCAGCTAAAACTGATCTTGTCCCAGTTGAATGCCACTAATACGACATTAAGAAGGAAGAGAAGATGAAAGGCTCTCAATAAGCTCTTTTGTAAAGAGACCGATTAACCATTCTTTACCAATACAAGCTCAAGAATGTGTGTATGAATACTAGGATAATCAGATAATAAACTATCAGCAAATACTGATATGCCATTATCAACAATTCTGTGTATGAAGTCATTAAGAGGCACGTCTGCGGTATGAAACCACTCAAGTCATTGATTGATTCAGTGGACCAAACAGTATCTTTCAGAGATTGTAGCATCTGATGTCAGCCATTCCCCACTGTACTTAAATCAATACAAATAACAACATTAATTAGCACTTCAGTTGATCAAACAGATTTGATCAACAGCTCCATTTCCTGCTTGATGCTCTTTAGTGAGAGAAATCAGAGCATTCAACCTGCTCTTAAAACCTCCACTTCCATTAACAAGAGAAAACTCATGCTTTGACTAAACTATCTTGGCCTCAAGATAGTTACTCGTGGCCTCAAGATACTAACTCGTGGCCTCAAGATAGTAAATCGTGGCCTCAAGATACTAACTCGTGTCCTCAAGATACTAACTCGTGGCCTCAAGATACTAACTCGTGGCCTCAAGATACTAACTCGTGGCCTCAAGATAGTAACTCGTGGCCTCAAGATACTAACTCGTGGCCTCAAGATAGTAACTCGTGGCCTCAAGATAGTAACTCGTGGCCTCAAGATAGTAACTCGTGGCCTCAAGATACTAACTCGTGTCCTCAAGATACTAACTCGTGGCCTCAAGATAGTAACTCGTGGCCTCAAGATACTAACTCGTGTCCTCAAGATACTAACTCGTGGCCTCAAGATACTAACTCGTGTCCTCAAGATACTAACTCGTGTCCTCAAGATAGTAACTCGTGTCCTCAAGATACTAACTCGTGTCCTTACTAACTCGTGGCCTCAAGATAGTAACTCGTGGCCTCAAGATACTAACTCGTGGCCTCAAGATACTAACTTGTGTCCTCAAGATACTAACTCATGGCCTCAAGATACTAACTCGTGGCCTCAAGATACTAACTCGTGTCCTCAAGATACTAACTCGTGGCCTCAAGATACTAACTCGTGGCCTCAAGATACTAACTCGTGTCCTCAAGATACTAACTCGTGGCCTCAAGATACTAACTTGTGGCCTCAAGATAGTAACTCGTGGCCTCAAGATACTAACTTGTGGCCTCAAGATACTAACTCGTGTCCTCAAGATACTAACTCGTGGCCTCAAGATAGTAACTCGTGTCCTCAAGATACTAACTCGTGGCCTCAAGATACTAACTCGTGTCCTCAAGATACTAACTCGTGGCCTCAAGATACTAACTCGTGGCCTCAAGATAGTAACTCGTGTCCTCAAGATACTAACTCGTGGCCTCAAGATAGTAACTCGTGTCCTCAAGATACTAATTTGTGGCCTCAAGATACTAACTCGTGGCCTCAAGATAGTAACTCGTGTCCTCAAGATACTAACTCGTGGCCTCAAGATAGTAACTCGTGGCCTCAAGATAGTAACTCGTGGCCTCAAGAGACTAACTCGTGGCCTCAAGATAGTAACTCGTGTCCTCAAGATACTAACTCGTGGCCTCAAGATACTAACTCGTGTCCTCAAGATAATAACTCGTGTCCTCAAGATACTAACTCGTGGCCTCAAGATACTAACTGGTGTCCTCAAGATACTAACTCGTGGCCTCAAGATACTAACTCGTGGCCTCAAGATAGTAACTCGTGTCCTCAAGATACTAACTCGTGGCCTCAAGATAGTAACTCCTGTCCTCAAGATACTAATTTGTGGCCTCAAGATACTAACTCGTGGCCTCAAGATAGTAACTCGTGTCCTCAAGATACTAACTCGTGGCCTCAAGATAGTAACTCGTGGCCTCAAGATAGTAACTCGTGGCCTCAAGAGACTAACTCGTGGCCTCAAGATAGTAACTCGTGTCCTCAAGATACTAACTCGTGGCCTCAAGATACTAACTCGTGTCCTCAAGATACTAACTCGTGGCCTCAAGATAGTAACTCGTGGCCTCAAGATAGTAACTCGTGGCCTCAAGATAGTAACTCGTGGCCTCATGATAGTAGTAACTCGTGGCCTCAAGATACTAACTCGTGGCCTCAAGATAGTAACTCGTGGCCTCAAGATACTAACTCGTGGCCTCAAGATAGTAACTCGTGGCCTCAAGATACTAACTCGTGGCCTCATGATAGTAACTCGTGGCCTCAAGATACTAACTCGTGGAAACAACATTAACAACATTACAAAACAAGACTACAACTCAACCTGCTTGGGAGCCTTTTTGAATTCACTGACAATATTAAATTAAGCTGTGCCCAACCATAGTAAATAAGTTGAATCAACGTAAGTACATTCAATTGGAATAACAGAAGTGCATAATGAACAAATTAATAAGTTAATTACGTGGAAAACCTTTTTTGAATGTGTGTTCTAGCTCAAGCACACCCGGTGCAACTAATGAAGCCCTTGATGAGATGCATCAGGTGTGCTTGAGACCTCTTTTGCCGATTTGTGCATTCGTGAGGGATTTATTCAAGGGGTCGAATAATTTTAAGACTGAATAAAGTTGCTTTTTCATTTGAATTTGGGGAAACTACTTTTTTTGAGTGATGATTTTAGCTCTTTGTTCAATGTCATTAATTAAAATGAGAATATATGACACAATCCTTCATAGAAATGATTCCAGCTTAATTTCATTAAATGTAATCAATGTAATCTTTTAAAAATTTGATTTACCAATTTTTTTTTTTAATTAAGTCAACATGAATATTTTTCATTCGTCTTACACGGATGTACGATTCAGGTATTCAATTTCATAATATTCATTCATCCAATGCAATAAAGTTTACTTTAATGTCACATTAATACATTTCTAGTATAAGTATTAACTATAGCACTTGTTAGCATCTTAATTTATAGACCTTATGCACCAGAGAAACGTGGGCGCCATCACCTTTAGAATATTGTCGAACTTCCGTTTTTGCGGTCGCTCTGTATATTTCTATGGCATCGCTGTCGAGGAGTAATTAGCTGGTGAAGTGGATTTACTTATTGTAGAGTTAACAAAAGTTATCATGAGTAGTAATGTTTATTGTACAGCAGATGTCTTAAATGCAGACCAGAATTTTTTTTACGAGCAGTTCATTCATACCTATGCAAGATTGCTGTGAAAATACAGACCAGAAGTCACAGCGCAGCGATGAAAAGGGGCGGGGCTACATAAGGTCTATAAGATTTGCTTGCTTCATCAACCAAAACATATACTGAAAGTATTAAGTTTTCAGTCTAACCAAATGCTCTCTTCTCCACAATGGGAACCCACTGCAATTTTGCAATGTAATTGAACATTAAACACAATTACGCACAATAAAGTCTTCCCCTTTTCTCATTTTCTCAAAAACACAGAAAATAACACTTAAGAAATGTATTTTCTCTTTATCCAGCTGCAAAGCATGCTGGGAACTAACAAGCACAGCCCAGTTTCAGTTAATGCAACACAAATCATTCATGTAATCCAACACAAACAGATTAAGTAAACATAAATTTTACATATTTAAGTAGATTGAACACAATCAAATTAAGTTTGGACAAAATGTATAGATTTGCGTTGCTTAAGCTCGTTTTAATTAAGCAATTTCGACAAGCAGCAAAAATAATTTTGTTGAGTGCAGAGAAACAAATGGGTCCGAGAATGTTTCCAGCTGTGGTGGGAAAAATGTGCGTTCTTTACAGAAAATAAATGGTTCTGCAACTTTCGTGTGCGAACTGCGAAGGCAAACATTTCTGTATATTTGTGATGTAGCCTATATTGGCACTCGAATGTATCGCAAAAATCACACAGATCTCAGTTCCAGAGAGAGGATGGGGAATAATGACAGTGGGCGAGCTTTTGCGTGACGTCCACCTGAATCTGTTACAATGGCTGGATTATGTTTACATTACACTGAGATCCGATCACAATGCATCCTCGACTTTGACTTTATTCTCAAAATATTGCTATTTTATTCTCATAATTTTAGATTTTTTTTTCGATTTTCATTTAGGGTATATATGAAGAGTTCAGTTGCAAAAGCCTCTAAATGCCATTTGAAATTTTCTTCTTTAATGATGATTTTTATCAAACTTGTATATTTAAGTTCAGTAATTTAACTTAAATGGCAATTATAATTACCTATTAATTGTTATTTAAGTGAAATTACTGAACTTAAATATACTTTGTACAAGTTTGATAAAAATCATCATTAAAGAAGAAAATTTCAAATGGCATTTAGAGGCTTTTGCATCTGAACTCTTCATATATATATATATATATAAAGTGTTATATAATACTATATAATTTAGATATAATAATTGTAGATACAAATATTAAGACAATAAAACATTATTCTTATTTGGGTCACATGAAGGCTCCATACCAGAAATCAACCCCAGACTTCTTCAATTATTTATTTAGTATTTTCAAGTTCCCTTTTTATAGTTTATGCATGTTTGAACGTGTTTTGAGGTTACTGTTTACAAAAAGAAGCTCTTTGGCCAATGGATGTATTTCTCTGCACGTGTGTTGGTGTGTAGCTCTTTGACGCCATGCGCACGTCACGATGACGCTGAGCTCTACCTTTCCCTTCACTCTCACCACAGTCTGATCCTCCAGACTTCACCCACAGAGCAGTGACACAACTTGTCAGGATTCAGATTAGACAGACCATTCATAAAACCCCATCAACAACACAACAGCACGTCAAGCTGGACTCTTATCAGCACACTTCTCCAGTTCATCCTCTTTGACTTACTGTGCGCATTGTTTTCTAGCGGTTTTTCACTTATGTCCCTCAAATCCAGCGATGACTATAATCTGCGTAGTATGAGCAATCTGATGGGCGAGAGGAGGAAGAGAGCGGCGGATGATGGAGAGCGGAGTCTCATCAAGGCTCCGTCCAGCGCGAGCCTCAGCAGCGCCGGTCCCTCAGCAGCGTCTCCTGCGCCCGCGGACCTGGAGCGCGCGGCGCGCAAACAGTTCCAGCAGGATGTCACGCCGGGTTTCGTCTACGTGCTGGCCGCGTTCTCCGCCATCGGCGGCTTTCTGTTCGGCTATGACACCGGGGTGGTGTCCGGGGCGATGCTTCTGCTCAAGAGGGACATGAATATAACTGCCCTGTGGCAGGAGCTGCTGGTGTCCGGGACTGTTGCCGCGGCGGCGGTGTCCGCGCTGCTAGGCGCGTGTCTCAACGGGTTGTTCGGGCGGCGGGTGTGCATCCTCACGGCCAGCTTTGCCTTCGCCATCGGGGGAATAGTAATGGGATCTGCTCCTAATAAGGAGACACTGCTGGTTGGACGACTCATAGTGGGACTTGGGCTTGGTAAGTGAGACACACCTCTGACTGATGGTGATGCATTCAGTGTGCAGAAAAGTTATATGAGGTTGTTTTGTGTCTTGCTTTTTTATTGTATTTCAATCTTCTGTTGATTTATAGGTAACATTTGACAATAAGGTGTCATTTGTTAATTACAATTGTTAACATGAACTAACAATGAACAGAACTTCTACAGCATTTATAAATATAATATTTATCAAAGTTAACATCATTAATACACTGTGAACTAATATATGAACATGAATATTTTTATTAACCAACATACGTTAACAAATGCTGTAATAATATATACATTCATTGTTAGTTCATGTTACTTGAGACCTATTGTGAAGTGTTTAATATTTATGTAATTTAAAATTTAAAATGTAATGATTATATAAAACAGGTATAAATGTAGTTACATATTACTACATGTATTTACTATATGAATAAGTAAATAATGACTAACCCCCGCCTAAACCAAAACAACCCTAACAGTAACTCTATAATAATACATAGTTTACTAATAATTACTTATAAGTGCAAAATAACAACGGAAACTTAAAAGTGTTACCAATATTACTACATTGTAAAAAGTGGTTAATATACAGTTTTTAAAGAGCCAAATCTACACTTTTAAAAAGCCTAAATGTATGTTTATCTTTATGTAGTCAGGTGAATTCAGTCTTACAGTCTTAAATAACTTTTGGACTTAATCAAATAAATTAATTTATAAAGTTACCTAACAAAACAGAGTCTGCATTTTTTTTTTAATAAAAATATATAAATAAACAGCATTTTTAGAAATCAGCAACATTGTGTTTTGTAACGGTACATTGTTGGCTATTTTAAAACTCATTTCAAACTCATTTTATTTTAAATTAGGCTGGCAATTTCGTCCCTGTGGAAAATAAACACCTTTCTCAATAGTTTATGTAATGTATGTTTATCAATAATGTTCAATGGTCTATATACAGAATTGAAATTATTTGTTGTATTCTTTTTTGAGTGGAACCTTCCCAAACCAGAAGTGCCTCCCATAATATAAAATGCAGTAGGCTCATTAGGAAAAAGTGGATTGGAGTTGATGTGAATGACCTTTTTTGGATACCTTTGTTCTCTTGCCTGTTTGTAAGGAGATGGATAAGAGTGTGTCTCTTTTCACATTTCCTTTGTGTCCTTTGGGACACAGCTCTATTCAGCCAGTCCTTCCAGCTTAAAACACTTAAGCACGAGACAGTTCTCTAATGTATTTGTAGACGACCCGGGATGTGGGTAGTAACATGTCATCTCACAATGGAGGAAATCAAGCTTTACCGCCATTAGGTTTAGCCCCTTCCTCACCCATGGCCATTCCAGCCTCTGATTCCTTCTGCAATGCTCCTTAAACTTCGAGATGCAGCCCAACCACTTCCTGACTGAGAAGGCTAAAGGCCAGTACACACTGGGACGAACATCAGCGTGCGTAATTAGTTTTTTGTGTTCACACCCAAGCGATTTTCGCTGACGATGAGCCGAGTGAACATGCAAATTCATTCCCTGACATTAGATGGCGCCCATTTGCTCTGCAATACCACTCAATAACAGTTCTCTTTTATCAAGATGTTTAGTCGCAGTCGCGTTTTTCACATAGTTCTTTATGTTCCCCCACCAACAAGACCAGCAGCTCTACATTCATCTTGCCTTGCATCTTCCTCGTCTTATTTCTTCCTGGCAGTGTAGACGGCGACGCTACTTGACGTAGATCTTCTTCTCCGTTCCGTATGTGTGCTCGGCAAGACCGTTTTGTGTTTGAGCATCAGGGCAGTCCAGTTCTCTAGGCCACTAGTGTTTTCATCAGCACAGTCTCATCCCAAGATGTCATGACTGACGTCTTGGGACGTCTTTTGACCGTACGTCAACATCCGCATTTTTAGGGTACCCTTAAACGTCGGTTAAATGACGTTATCGGATCCTAACCCTACCGCAGACCTAAACCTACCCCGTCACCTAACTGACGTTAAAGGGTTAGTTCACCCAAAAATGAAAATTAAGTCATTAATTACTCACCCCCATGCTGTTCCAACCCCGTAAGACCTTCGGAACACAAATAAATATATTTTTGATTGAATCTGAGAGCTGGATCAGTCCTAGATAGACTGCCTAAGGGACTGGCTCTTGACGGCCCATAAAGTCATTAAAGAAAAGGTTTAAATATTCCATATGCCTACAGCGTCTCAATTATAAGTTGATCAAGCGACGAGACTACTTTTTGTGCGAAAAAAACATAAATAACGACTTTATTCGACTATTCCATTACTTCCTTATGGGCGCATGTGCGAGAACTGAGACGAGGACGTTCTCCTTCGACTACTTCTTGTTACCGGCTGCTCACCGCTTAGGAGTATTACCGCCCCCTACCGTATAAGATGATGTGCTATATAACTTTCTGTTTACAAGCAGAGAAAGATGCGCGCTGTACATTCGCTTTTCAATTAGCGTATTTTCCGCACTATAAGGTGCACTTAAAAGCCTCTAATCTTCTCAAAAAAAGACAGTGTTCCTTATAATCCGGAGCGCCTTATATATGGATCATCATTTTATACGGTAGGTGGCGGTAATACTCCTACTCTTTCTTTGGTCCACTTGAGATGTGAGCAGTTGGGGTAAGGAATGTTTTAAAGGTTGCCTGTCTAAGTTTGTCCCACCACCATTAAGAGTCCCTTGATCCTTGTAGCATTGACAATTTCCCTAAGAGTCAAGCCTTCCTTGAAGTGTTCAGTCCACTCCAAAAATGGATCTGCAGAGCGCCTATAACCTCATCCGTGAGAGAGATGAGTGAAAAACTGGTTTCAGTACATCAAGTGGGAACTGTGAATATCGGGTCATGCCATATGGCCTGGTCAGCTCTCCCTCTGTATTTCAGTCATTTATAAATGAGGTTCTACAGGACTTTCTACACCGGTTCATCACACTCATCATGTTCAGGAATCCCTAGAGAAACACCAGCTACACCTCAAATTCAAGAAGTGCCAGTTTAACTGTCCATTTCCTGTGATATTTCATATTTTTTCAAACAAAGTGCAAGCTATCACACCCTGGCCTCAACCTTCTACCAATAAGTAACAATGCTTTCTCAGCTTTACCAACATTTGATGGCTGTTCATTCATAATTTAAGCTCTCAACAGGGCCCCCATCCTCGATCAAATTGTTCCAGAGCTCCTCTTTACTGTGGAAGACGACGTATCTGTCACCGGGGTTGATGCTGTCCTGTCCCAGAGATGGGGAACTCATCCCAAGCGTTATCCCTGAGCTTGTTCTTTCTATTTGTTTGTGCTGTTCTCTTCAAATATTGTCCACAGCAGTCCAGCATTATCAGTATTATCAGTCATCACAGACCAAGACAAGCTTGAGTACCTCTGTTCCACCAAGAGACTGAATCCTTGGCAGGCTCGCTGGGCACCCTTCTTCAGACCAACCCAATTGCTCATACGTGCCAGAACCACTTTATCGCTGGAGTCACAGAGATGTTGGCACTGACCGAGAAGATACTGGTGGCCCCATCTCCTATACAACATAACTATATTCTCACATTGTGTTCCTAGATTGAGTCTCCAAACTTCCAACTATTTTTTAATGATGGATTTTCATAATTGGTGGGTTGTGGCTATGCAGAAAGCAAATACCAACTCAAACCTAAAAAAAAATGTTTGTGTGTGTGTAGGTTGACTACATTTTTTGGACTATTTAATGTCTGTCAGACTTGAATAGTGTTTCAACAAATGCGCACAGTGAGCTTATTTAAATGTGTTCAATGTGGCTGGTTTTTCTAGAGGATTGTACACTGTCTTTTTAATTGCTTTGCTTAAAGGATACCAAGTGAGTCATAGTGCGTGTAAGATCACAGGCTTTGATAAAATTTCATGGAGCGCTTCATTGAAAATTCAGAACTATTTTTAACTCTGGCAATTAGTACAGAGTCATAAGGATTCACATGATTCGACTGGGTGAAGACTGACAGAGTCAAGCTTAAGCTGTATTTCTCATTAATGACTGTGCGTACCACAAGGAGTTTCCAAGGATGACCTGAATATACCACAAGCATTTGGAAAGATCAATTTAGCCTGATGCTGCTTATTGTCTAGGATTACACACTGTCATTAGGGAAAATTGGTGTTTTCTCAATCCTTATAATGCCTGGCTGAGTAATGCCATCTTAATTGCTCAAATCCAGAGAATCGCCATTCGAGCATTAAACTGTGGACCATAATCCATATATTTATCATTTTAAAGGTAGGCTACTATTACTTATTAGTAATACACACACTATTTGCATTGGAGCGGTGGGGTTGGTATGTTGTTCTTAAGGGTGGTCTTTTCAAGTCGCTTCACTTCCATTCATAAATGCTCTCCTGTGGCCTCATAAGATAGTAAAGCGTCCATCGAATGTGGACTTAGTCCACATCCGGAGACTTTCCGACAATTTTTTTTTTTTTAAAGCTACACTGTGTGATTTTTACCTCCATCTAGAGGTGAAAAGGTATATGACCATCCAGTGAATATTAGTTTCTGTTCCTCTCAATGCCGATTTCGTTTTAACTCCTACGGTGGCCAATGTAGTCCAAGATTAACATGGCTTCCAGTTCGACCTCGTCCATGAGCGTTAACTCAAACATAAATGCGAAAGGCGAAGCTTGAATTAACGGGTATTACCCTCTTTGGCTAATGTACTTTCAAGATGGAGGGGCAACATGGCGACCGACCCGTATGTATTTTCAATGGCATATTATACACACACAAGAATACTTGATTACTTGAACGAAGTAAATATACAATAACGAGCACATATATTTTTGAAAGAACTAAGTGTTTTTAGCTAAGAATAAACTAAAAGAGTTACACAGTGTAGCTTTAAATATGTTTTTGGACATATTTTTCTATTTGCATACTTTTTTTTAACATGCTATAGTAGGGAAGTATTTCATTTCCGACACTATCTTTGTATTCATGAGGTTTGATAATATAATGTCTTTTTTTCAAATTCTAGTTCTATTTGCAAACACTGATAAATACGTCGTCTTGTAACTTTTCTGAAAGGTCATTGAACTGATTAATTAACCACTGACTTCTGGTTTAAGTGATTGAGCCCAGTTACTTCCAGGCTGACCTTTATGGAAACACAAAACCAGTATGGAGCAAAAGGGTCAAACCATCAAATGAATGACCTTTTCCTCAGCTCATTATGTTTATTTAGCAGAGCTATGACAGCAAAGTATGTGTTTACTCTACTTTATATGAGTCAAATCATTAATGCAGTGTTCAGAAAGTCCGTCTCAATAAATTTGGGCAATTCCTCACCCTAACAATCCTTCAAGCCGGGCACAGATCTTTGTGCTAATCACAGATGGTGTAAAGTAGAAGTTAATTTGGCTTGGCAATGTCTGAGCCAATGGTGTGATCAGAGAAGTAGCTACGCTGTTTTGGCGATCGTCTGCTGTCACCATGACTCCTCCACCGTTGTGGAGCGAAAGGCCATTAGAGCGATGGCCTCTCACGTTGAGTGTCTGGGGTAGGCCGTTGAATGAAGTGGGTGGGGTTTTTTTTGCTTTAAGACACTCACTAATAATAGAGACAACTACAGCTTCAGTGTAGAGTCTCACACTAATGAGTCCACTCTTTTGTTTAGCAGCTAAACCTAGGCAAAAGTATCCTGTTTTTTAGTGGACTTAAACAAGACACCAAAACAACATAGATTGTCTCCATTTCCTCTGACTGACTGTTACATCATTAGGGCAGAGCTTCAATGTTGTTATTGTAATGTATTGTACTCAGGAAATCTGATATCAGTGGATTGATACTTGCTAAGTATTCCCTAGTACAGTAAACCGATTTAATGATGCCCATTAATGTTGAAATAAAACACTCACACTGTAACTCTCATGCAATATCAATAACATTTAGGTCAAACCGTTATGTCTGTCTGTCTATATGTCTGTCAGTCATATAATGGAGGTATATGGGGTCCACCTCAAAGAGCATGCACAGAGAAGTCTCGTAAATGTAAGTACACATTGATGGCCTAAGACAAGAAACGAGCGGTTTGTGTGAGAAAACGAACAGTATTTATATCGTTTTTACCTCTTGTAAACACAGCCACGTCCAAGTACTCTAAGGGTGAGGGCGCTTCTTTCTGCGCAAGCTCGCCGATACGCGCCGGAAGTGATCTCTCGCGCATGTACGTCACTCATTGTTTACACAGATTTCAGAAGTGTTATCCTTCACCGTGGAGATCTAAATATATTTAGATATACAGGAAATTGCAATGGAAGACGATTTCGATATATCAACAGACAACATTGATTTTTTTCCCGCAACCACGCAAGAGATCACTTCCGTCGCTTTCCGGCGCTTGCGCAAAACAAACCACCCTCGCCCTCAGATCACTTGGACGTGGCTGTGATAACAAGAGGTAATACGATATAAATACTGTTCGTTTTCTCACACCAACCGCTCGTTTCGTGTCTTAGACCATCAATGTGTACTCACATGTACGAGTCATTAAATCATGTTTAATTTGGACTTCTCTGTGCATGCTCTTTGAGGTGGACCTCCATAGACCTCTATTTTTGACTGACAGACAAGAACGTTTGACCTTAAAATATCAAAATTGAAAATACTGTGGAAACAAAGACACCTACATCTTGGATGACCTTGAGGTAAGATAAACAAGTGAACTATCCCTTTAATATCATATCACCTACATTAAACCGTAATTTCAGTTACCAAAATCAAACATGAGAAATAATCAATTTACTGAAGCAATCGTACCATTTTAGCTAATTTCTACAAGTCTTTAAGCTTGTGCAATGCTGTACTATAAGCTACCAAACAAGTTTACTAGTAGTTTATGTATGTATTTTACAAAACATGCACTATGGTAAAAGCGTTTTGAAGTCATAACATAGTATTATGCAAAGACACCACATGCTGTAATCATTATTTGTGTGAATAGAAATAAAAATGGCTGGTGATTTAATCAAGGTTGGTTAGGATGAATCCATAAAGGTAGCTGCTTTTTCAGATTAGGTTTTGGAACAGACCCTGGGCGAGTCGTGATTTCATTGGATATGCAAATGATTTTATGTTTTGCCTCTCAATGCCACGTATGAAAGATGAGATGGACCACATACAGAGATATCATCTAAGTCATTTTGAATGATCCTTCCATGTGGCATAACATCGGTCTTCCCACATGTATAAAAAATGCGGGTCTGTGAATAAGCATTGTCGGATAACCTCCATCAATCTACGTGAGAGAAGAACACATCCTTCGCTCATGTGAAGTCAGTGTCTTCCAAAACGTAAATGAGATGCCAATAACAGCTGTCTTCTCACAGTATTGATTAACCTCCTTCTGAGGGAAGCAGCGAGGCGTTCCCATGGCAACAGGTGCGTTGTCTGCCGGGCAACGAGAGCGACAGTGAACTGGGGCTATTAATAGAATTTATAGCGAGCGGTTATGTCGTAGACCTTAGATTAAATGTGGGCTGGCATGGACTTTTTGTTTGTTCTCCTGTGTAAATATCACGTGAACACTGGTCCCGGCACACCACATCACACTTCCATTTCCTCCCCATCCCAGTCTGCTAGAACCAAATGCACATTTTATGGTGTCCCTGCTATTCCAGAAATCACTTTCTTATTGAAAATGTGCATAACGTGACACATCTGTGATGCAATTGGTGGGAATGAGAAGCATGTGGCCTGGCTGTATCCTCTTTTGAGCCCCATGTGATTGGCAGGGAACATGGGCGCACAAAGCATATTCACTATGCGTGTCACATATTGTTGCGTGGTCCTTTGTAGATCTGAGAGACAATGCCAGTGTAATAAGGCTTTCAGTGTTTGGGGATTTGTTATGTGGTGCATGTCTGCAGTATTTGGCTTCCATAAACTCGTTAAATAAAACAACCTTTTTTTAAGCCCCAATCCCCATTCACTTTCATTATTGAGACGAGCAGACAGTAGTTTCTTCGGATGAGTTTGTAGCAACCGGTTGAGTGAAGGATTGAATTTTCATTTTTGGGTGACTCATTCCAAAGCGTTTGTGCTTTGGGCACCATACTTTCTAAACACTGGATAGATTAGAAAGCAAGCAAACCTATGTAATAAAAGACAAAAGTGTGTAGGATAATACTTTTCTGTTGTGCTTATCCATGTTTTTGCCTTTTTTTTCTTTCTTTGATCAGCCAAAGAGGTCAAAAGAGGCATTAAATTTCATTTTCTTTACTTGATATTTCAACCAACTCGCCCGCCACTCAAAAAATCAAACAGCTTGAACAACTTACTGCACTGTAAAGCCATATAATTAGTTTCACATCTGTGGAATATGAGCATCTAATGGAAATATGCCAAACCAATTGGAACATATCCTATTTGACTGCTATATATACATCCGTCCAGGTATTGGGTCCATGACCATTCCTGTGTACATCGCTGAAACATCGCCACCCCACCTGAGAGGACGCCTGGTCACCATCAACACACTGTTCATCACAGCGGGCCAATTCATAGCCAGCCTTATCGATGGGGCCTTCAGCTACATGCAGCATGGAGGCTGGAGGTAGGAGCACCACGTCTTTGGGTTTAAATGACAGAATTTGCATGGAATCTAGAATTTGTCTTGTTTCTTTGCTGTGGGACAATACAATGACTGTATTTTTTATGTTTGAGAGTATTTCCATGATGTCTACAATACAGCGCCATGGGATGTGAGCTTGAAGTCTGAATTGAGTGTGATGCGAGAATGAATTCACTGTGTGGATTTGTCTACCTTTGTCAGCTCTACTGGAACAGACTGATCTCATGAAGTAGCGTGTGTATGACACGCAAATTCGTATTTCCATTTTTGGCGTGCTATCAAGACGCATAATTGCCTTTCAGCGTGTTTATGAACGCCGTTGACTTAACGTTATATAAATATATGACTTACCTCAACCCCGTCCCTAAACCTAACCGTCACTGGGGTTAATGGCATTTATGACTGTTACCATCCTAGGTAAAAAAAAAAGATATGACTTACCTCAACCCCATCCCTAAACTTAACCGTCACTGGGGTTAATGGCATTTATGACTGTTACCATCCTAGGTAAGAAAAAAAAGATATGACTTACCTCAACCCCATCCCTAAACTTAACCGTCACTGGGGTTAATGGCATTTATGACTGGAGATTTGACTGCGTGTTCGGACACGCGGAATGACACGGACGTTAATGGCGTAGACATATACGCATACACGCGGATAGCTCAAAATGCGTAGAGATAACACGCCACGTGACTCGAAAGTGGCGTATATGTTTACGCAAAAGTCATGATGTCATGTTGACTGGAATGAACCATCCTGTAGGGCAGATCCTGTAAATCATATCATTTTCACTCTATGTAGCTTGTCATAATAAAGCCTCAAAACGAAACAAAATAAATGTTAAACCAGCAAATATCCCCCTCGCAATGTGTTGCTGTTGCTCTGGGAAAGAAAATGGTATACTTGATGGAAATTTTGCCATTCATTTACTTTTTTCTTTCCCATGATCTAAACCACAAATCGCTCTATGTTAATGAAGGGATTACTGCATAGCCAACTAATTATCATGATAATTTGCAGTAAATAATGATTCAAAGGATGGCTAGGTTTATCCAAAGAGAAGAAGACCATAAGAGACTAAAAGAATGATTTTTTCCCTCTTAATTTCTTCTAACACCCTCAATTAATGAAATTTCTGTTTCGTGTGTAGGTATATGCTGGGTCTGTCAGTGGTCCCTGCATTGCTGCAGTTCCTAGGGTTCCTCTTCCTACCAGAGAGTCCTCGCTGGCTCATCCAGAAAGGTCTGACCCAAAAGGCCCGGCGCGTGCTCAGCCAAATACGCGGCAACCAGAACATTGACGAGGAGTATGATACTATCAAAAGCAGTATTGAAGAGGAGGAAAAGGACTGTGGAGGAGGTGAGAAAATAGTCTTGCAAACACTCAGAGATGCAAGTAGCTCAAAGAAACACAAATATAGTCTCAGTTCACTGAAAGTAATTAAGTGCACAAGAGAACCCCATGTGGATATTGGTAACTTAAGAAGCTTTCACATTTTCAGCGATTTGCTGCAGAAATGCGCCCGGAAGCCATTCGTTTTAAATGGAAGACATTAGTATCAGAAACTGCTACAAATGCGACAAACTTGCGGAGACTAATAGGGATGTCCAAGTCTAGAACTGCTCTGATTCCTTTAGTGAATGGGTCTTTGATTTAAACCGAATAGTTGAGTCTTTTTAACCAATTCATTTAAAAAGAACTGACCGTTGCGACTATTTTGTTAGAGTCCCCTTGTGGTGAAAATCATTTTTTTTTATGTTGTTTATATGCCTATGTGGTGTTTTTAATATGTTTTAAAACTAACCGTGTGCAAACTCATAAGTCAACACCATTGCTGAGTATTTTCTTTTTGAAACTGCAGTGAACCAAAGACTTGCTGGTGTTTCTGACATCGCAAACTACCTTGTAACCAATCAGGTCAATGTGATTGTCAACGAGTGGATCTCTGAGCTGGTGTGAGTGAGTGGAGGTTGGGCTAATTTGCATATTCATTGAACCACTTATATATTATGAGGCCAGGATGTAGAGTTGCATTTAAGCTGTTTTAAGGCATGAAGAAATTTGCTTTAAGGGGAAATATGCTTAAAGGGGACATACCATGCTAAATCCACTTTTTTAGCCCTTAAATGCATTTTGTTGTATATTTGGTACAGAAAAGTTGAAGTTATTCTCATCAGGTGCTTCGTTTATATCTTTATATTCTGTATTGGTCATCTTTTTCAACCTGTTCAGATTTTTCTGTTCTCTATGGCGTTTTTTGAACAATTACGTCACCGTATTTGCCGCGGAACTGACAAATAAGGACATCGACTACCATTTTTATTTCCCGCTCCGATTTTGTAGTCCAAGCTCAATGATGCAGAAGTTACAAGAAGGAAAGTCAAAATGTTCGGTTGTTGGATGTAGTGACCCTTCAAAGATTCCAACTTCAACAACCTCCTCCAGTATAAAGAAGTTTTTGCCGATCGACTTCGTCTGAATGAGGGGCCAATTCCTTCTATCTTTGGAGACGACGACGAACAGAGCATTTCGATAAGCTGTAAATATCGTTAATAAAAATAAAGTACTTTACTTTCTTAAAACACATGATGGTCATGGTTTAGCAGTACCTTTGTCTTTCTTTGTTTTTGTGTTGAAGTAACGTTACACGTCTGCAGTATTATTGTTCTTGAGTTTCATCAATGGTCATTTAGCTGATGCTTTTCTACACGTATCATAATATCAATACAGATTTTTAGTGGTAAGATTAGACTGTAGTCATTTATCTTGCTAGTGTGCTTGTTTTAACAAGAGAAATAATCGACTTTCACTTATAACACAATACAGTTACATACCATTGATTGCACTACATCCATATGAAGACGTTGTTCTGCAGGTTCGTCGTCTTCTTTTTCAACTCGCTCGCTCTGGATCGCACATGTAAGGCTTGAAGGACAAGTCTTCCATTGTTGACATTTTGTTAAAGTGTGAATATAAATGTTCTTTGACTCAATATAATCGTGTATCTCTAACCAAACTACAAAAATGGCCGAACGGGGTGGAGTTGAACCAAGTTTGAACGGGCGGGGTTTGGAGCGGGCGGGGTCCTTTTTATTTAAAGAGGCCGCACCAAAACGAGTTACCAACGGGCACACATCAGAAAAGGGGCCTGTGGAGCTATAATAATATTGTGTTACCGAATATTTTGGTGCAATGGTCAAAGAATGCCGATCATGAGCAGTTAACCGAACTATGATTTATCACGAAATGTCATGAAAATCAATTGTCTCCAGTAGTCTCAGTTAAGCAACTAGACATAGGATTTCAGACAGTAAAGCTCACTTAATCCTTTGTCTGATACAGTCGGCTATAACAGTTAAGTAGGAACACCTACCAGCAACAAACAGGACAGCATCTTGGCCATCCTTATGAAAGCAACAAGAACAACAAATCAAAATAATTGAAGATGGGGCCGCAAGTCTCACGGAATCAAAAAAACCTGGGAAATGTCAAGAGTCAAGAGGATATTGGAAAGTGGTTTAATTCTGTCCTTAATTACCTCTGATTCAGAGGTTGGTAACTTACTGGCTGAAGAGGACTTTAAAGTACATCCCACTTTCCTCTGCAGAACTAAAAGTGAAGGAGCCCTTTAGAGTTTTCAAGCTCTATTGTGGCACGTTCGAAAATGCCATGTTGCTCATTTTTATCCGCTACAGTCCAGGAGGTAATTTATTGGAGATTAATGGAAATGAAAGGGGAACAACAATGTTTCTTAATGCCGAACAGTACACGAGGGCACACCAGCAATAAAAACCCAAAGGTGCCAAAGGTGTTCATGAACCAAAATTCACTTGAGTCAACCTATAATATATTAAAATGCAATGGAAGGCAACATTACCAGCAATTCAACAGCACAGCAGGGCAGAAACAACTACTGAATAGCACATGCACTTGAACAGCATGTTTCACCCAAGCAAATCTAATTCGGCCGTAGGTGGAGACAATTACTAACCATGGGAAGTCACCAGCCCTTATACAACCTCGTTTACTAACCAATCACATGTCAGTCATAGTCTCCCAGACCTTATTGCCACTTTAGAACATCTAAATATGATTGACCTTTTGTTATGGGACAGGTTTCTGACCTCAGACAAGTCATTGTAAAACCAAGCCATAAGCCAAAGACTCTACGGACATTATGGTGATTACACCTTTGACAGAAACACATATATTTTCTGATTCTGCAGCTGAGATAGTGATGATCTCATGCTCTTATCACTCGAATGTGAAAGGTCATGGGTTTCACATGGGCAAATGTCAATTACTGTGACAGTAATTAGTAGTTACAGGAGCAGAGGTTGTGTTTGTCATAGAGAAAGTCTACTAGTTTGGAGAAACAGTAGTTTGCACTGCAGGAACCAAATGTCATTCATTTACTGTTATAATTGCCAATTTTAAGAAACAAGAGTAAGAGTCCCACCACCAAAGTCCCATAGTTCATGCTGTGGCCACATTTGCATGCCCTATTTTAAAAAGCCAGCATTTCTGGTCATCAGCATAAGGTATGTTTTGCAAGCTGGGACCAAAATGGTATAGCTGGGGATGCTGTTTGCTGGTCCCCAAAATAGGAAGTCGGAATGTTGGTGGTCCAGCCGCTTGAGAACAGGATGCTGGTCTACCAGCTAGACCAGCACTCTACCACCAGTATAAACCAGCCTGGACTAACATGGAATTCATGCATGTTTCAACAGGGATCAACAGACTATATGTGCAGTCCAAAGGGCATGTCTCAGGACACTGTTTCTATGGGAACTGGAGCTTCTAACAGCAGTTGAAGTGACGTGATGACTTTACCAATAAGTGGTTGGATCTTTAATATGGAGGGTGGGATTTAATTCTCTCATTCAGAGTAATATGAGAGCACCTTCTTGGTATACTGTGTGTTCCTTGGTTCAACAAATGAGCAGCTAGCCCCGCATCATAGATATATACACTAGATGTCACCTTGGCTATGGCAGTTCATTAGAATGAATGCGTCAATAGAGCCGCCATCTTGGAACAGGGGAGCCCCTCCACTTTAATGCGTCAGCGACAATGTAGACACAGGTCTAACGGAAATAAAATCACGAATCATTAATGCGATTTTCTTGGGGTTTTTTTGGGTCAGACATGTATTTATCATTGATTCACTGAAGAAAAAAAATTGAAAAACATTCTTCCTAGTTCAGATTTCATTCGTGTGAACATCATACACAGCACAAAAGTCCACCAACATCAATTAATTTGAAGTAAAGGCAGAGTTGGCAACGTTACCTACCTACTTCCTATGACAAGTCCCCTGTTCCAAGATGGTGGCGGTTTTGACGCATGCTTAGAACCCTAAGTGTATATGTCTATGGCCCCGCATTAAAGGGATACTCCACTTTTTTTGGAAATAGGCTCATTTTACCACTCTCCCAGAGTTAAACAGTTGGGTTTTACCGTTTTCGAATGTATTCAGCCAATTTTTTTATATTTAGAAGAATATCAGTAACCAGACAGTTTCTGGTCTCATTGACTTCCATAGTATATATTTTTTTTCCTACTATTTTTTTTTCCTACGAAAACGGTAAAACTCAACTGTTTAACTCTGAGGGAGTGGTAAAATGAGCCTTGCGATCTCCTTCAACTACTTCAGTTCAGTTCTCGCGCATGCGTCGTGGAAATCTATTGAAGTCTCGTTTCAGGCCAACAAGGAAGAAAAGGAATTGTCGAATAAACTCGTTATTTTTGTTTGTTTTTCCGCACAAAAAGTATTCGCGTCGCTTGATAAACTTATAGTTGAGCCACTGTAGTCACATGGAATATTTAAACATTTTCTTCATTGACTTTCTGGGCCGTCAAGTGTCATTTCCTTAGGAGCCAATGTGGTAGTTATACAGCTCTCAAATTAAATCAAAAATATCTTCATTTGTGTTCCGAAGACGAACGAAGGTCTTACGGGGTTGGTACAGCATGGGGGTGAGTAATTAATGACTTAATTTTCATTTTTGGGTGAACTAACCCTTTAAGGTGATGATACTCAGGGCAACTTTTTGAGCAATTTTGCCGAACAATTGTTGTTTGGGCACTTTCCCATTGAAAATTGGCAATACATTTCCAACTGGATAATTTATATGGGTCGTGGGCCCGTTTGGTTGCCTGTTGACGGCAACATTGCCCAGCAACATTGCTCAAAAAGTTGCCCTGTGTATCATCACCTGTAGAGGTTTTTGTGAAAAAGGTACACATGGACATTCACTTGATATATATGTGCTGATATATATATATATATATATATATATATATATATGATTTCACATGCACTGCATACTTTCAGTGGTGACAGAGATTTTGAAGAG